ACGGATTATATGGTTATGCGGCACACCCCTAAATCCACACTGCCATATATTCCAGTTCGATTAATGTGGGAGGGGCCTCAGTGCCTATTCCTTTGCTAAGCGCGACCAGAATTGCCTCAAAAAGGGCGGGGGAGGGGGAGGAGGCAGGTTAAAATAGTCCTTCTTTTGTTCACAGTAATCAATGTGCAGGGAGACCTGTGTCCCTCCGCGCGCATCACTCTCAGCGGCCGCGCGGGTAGGCGGACTTCTTTTTTTGTTTGGCCTCCCTCCCCCTTCCCTCTCGCGCCCCGCCCCCTGGCAGAGGAAATGGAAGGGAAGGCTGGAGTCGGCGCATGCGCGCGAGGAGAAGCCGCTACTGCTGGCCTTTGTGTTTCCCACAATGCAGCGGGCTTCTCCTCCGCGGGAAAGCAAAATGGCGAAGGGCTGTTGTGGAGTCGGGCGGCCTGTGAGGCGGCCCTGAGGCGTCCTTCGCCTTGCCTTGGCCCCCTCCCTTCCCTGCCCCCTTACCGAAGCCCCACGGGGGCGCTTGTAGTCTCGAGGGGCCCGGCTGACGGCAGCGGGAGGCTTCTCGAGCGGAAGCGCATTGAGCGCACGGATTTCCCTGTATGAAGCGGGTGGCCCCATTGGAGAGACCGAATGAGGTGGGTGAAAGGGGGGGGGAGAGGGAGAGCAGGCGGAGGGACTGCGGAAGGGGGGCCTGTGAGGTTGACCCGTCCTCCTTTCCCGTCCTTCCCTTGCAGCAAGTCCCTTCCCTGAAGGAAATACACACGCAAGCAGCTTTCCCTCCCTGCTTTAACCCCCCCCCCTCAAATATGTGGGTGGAAAAACCCACATAATGAAGCCTTTCGGACATCTTGCCCCCCGTCATTCACCAATGGGAGGCGGACCTGGAAGCAGCTGGTAATACGGGCTTTATCTGTAGGAAAAGGGGGGGGGGGGTTAGTATCCGGTGGAAACCAAAACAAAGGCGAGAGGAAGCCGTGCTGGCACAGTATTGTGTGTATGGAAGGGGGCTTGCTCCTTACTATGGATGAAGCTCAGGTAAAAGGAGGGAAGTTGGTATTTCGTGTTGGGTTGATTGGTGGCTTTCAAAGGATTCCATCGTTGTGGGGATTTTTTTTCTCTCTCACTCTGCCTTTGACAAAGGGGAGAAAAAAGACGGTGAAAATAAGGGAAGGGGGCGCCATGAAATGGGAGGCAAGCGTTAATTTTGAAAATAACAATCGACTGCAATGTGCAATTAGACAATTTTAAGGCCCTTCCACACAGCTATATAACCCAGAATATTAAAGCAGAAAATCCCATAATATCTGCTTTGAACTGGGATATCTGAGGCCCCCTTCACAGCTGAATAAAATCCCACATTATCTGCTTTGAACTGGAATATATGGCAGTGTGGACTATGAGTCCTTGCACATAGCCATATAACCCAGAATATAAAGACAGAAAGCAATGCAAGATTTGCTATGAACTGCATTGTCTGGGTCAACACTGCCGTATAATCCAGTTCAAAGCAGAAAATGTGGGATTTTATTCAGCTGTGTGGAAGAGGCTTATGATAACCCACTTCAAAGCAGGTATTGTGAGATTTTTCTACCTTGATATTCTGTGTTATATGGCTGTGGAAGGGCCCTATGCCATATACCCCAATTCAAAGCAGATAATGTGGGGTTTTATTCAGCTGTGTGGAAGGAGCCTTAGAGTCTAGCCTTAATGGTTTTCTCATGTCGTGAATTTAACATTGCTTCCCTTATTGTAGCTGGCAGCATTTCCTCATTTCGTGGTTTGTAACTGCTATATGTTTGTCCAAAAAAAGAAATATAATTGCAATGGAGTCTGATTATGTGCTGAGTTTTATATTTTCAACTAGTTTGCATATTGTGGCTTTGGTTTCTTTCAGCTGCCATTTGCATCCAGATTGTACAAAAGTCTCCATACAATGTGAAAATGGAAATTGTCACTAAATCTACCTATATTAACAAAATATTCATCATTACTAACATTTCACAAAATATTATCTGTTTTGCCACATCTTTCTGTGTGCGCGCACATCCATAAGTATGCACACATATATGCACACACATACACATAATATGAGTAATTTTTCCTGTGTGTGGAGACTTTTGGGACACTTGTTTGGGGCAAGTTTTTACGTTGTCACTGTAACTATGATTTTCTCATCCTTTTTTCTCCACATCTGTATGTAGTTCCTTTGATACAATGCTACCTTCTCTGATGCAAATCCATTGTTTCAGTTGTATTGCAGTTATCCATATTCACATTGATATTTATCTTCATGTGTTCCTTATATGAATACTGGTGTCTGTTCATTGAGTGAATTGCCTTTGGAATTTAGTTTTTTAAGCCTTTGATACATTTCTGGAAAGCAGAATTCTCTGATGTAATTTCCATCCACTCCTGAAAATCCCCTGGCTTCAAGTGCTCTCAATGGCAATGGAATGAACTGGAGCAGTAATTAAACATTTTCTTAGAATTATTATTTAAAGTGGGGGTTTTAAGCTCTGTTCTTTATCTAAAAATAATTCAAGAACAACATTCTAAGATCCATTTATAAAGTTTTTAACCCCCACCCCCCCCAAGAGTCCCTTGAGCTGTGGTAATGGATACTAAGGAAGTGGTTGATATTGATATCCTTTGTGTGTTTCCGAGTGCATTTCTTTTTCAGCTTAAGTTCTAGGAGTAGAACTGCTTAGGACCCTCAGATAAGCTATGCTGATGTTACCTGCATAGTAAGTTCATAAGATTTCTTTCTGAGCTCCCCACTGTTCTAGCATTCTGAGCAATAACTGGGATTGAAACATATATGCTTCAACCTGGTTCATTATAGTCAAACTTTTATGAACTAGTCAAAGGTCGCCACATTTCCTATTTAAAACTGATCTTTCATGTGCTAGTTATTAGTTACAAATTTCTTGGACGTATTCTTTCTGACAGGAAGGAGAAAAGCAAGGTCCACAGAGCTTCTGTGGTTGAACTTTCCTGATGTGCATAGATTTCAGGTAGTGATTCTGTGTATATTTTTATCATTTCTTCAAAGAGCTTAAGGTAGCAAATAAGGAAGCACCATTCCAACCCAGTTTTAGTTTACTAGCCATACAAAGGAAGGTTAATCTGAATTCTTCTGTAGCAGCAAATGTTGAAATATAGCAGCTATCAAGGATGGGAACTGTGTTATCCCCTTGATGTTATGGGAATGCCAATTCTAACAATGCTACCCATCATTGCCAGTGGTGAAGAATACTATCTGCAGTCCCACAGTATATCTGTAGATCTGCCTGACTTTTATCCCAGCTGTACACAAGAACTTCTCAATTCTTGTTGTGGAGAGAATTATAAGAACTAGTGGCCATAGTTGGACTAGATTTGGGCAAAGCTAGGTTCACATCCTTCATCATGCAGCTTGTTTGGTGATTGTGGACTACATTTAAGAAATGTGTCTACTTATAGTACAAATGCATATTATTGAGAAAAGAAAAAAATCCAACCTGTACAGTTAAACAAAAGTTTCGCAGAAGAGAGAGGAATACCACAGAAAGAAAAAGGAACAACTCCCTACATCACAAAATAGAAGAGCATTATAGTAGTTCCAGTAAACCTTTTATCCAAAAGTGTTAATATGCATATGTGAAATTAAATAACCAATTCAATTAAGCCTTCTACTGTTGCCCTCCCAGGTTCTTTAGACAGCTAATCTGTGACTTGTAGTCCCATTGTGGAATAATAAACAGATTGCTCCCATATATCTAGCTGGAATCCTACAAGACATTGAAGTAGTAGCTCATAGAGTTTTCAGCTTTTCCTTTTGCCACTTGGCTGATTTGTGTTGCACTTAGAATAGCACATGTGAGACAAGTGAGAAGAAATTAAATTGGTCTTGAGGCACCATTGTCAGTAGTGTTGGTCTATTTGTATATGTGTCTACTACATGTCCACATGCAATGAAATCTTGTGTCACCAGCCAGCTTGTCACTGCAGCTGGGTAATGCACTCAGAAGGGAAATGAATGATATGTGACTAGGGTATGCCTCCACCTTATTTACAGTTCGCGTTTTCAAGTGGCCTCCATTCTTTGCTGATATCCACAAGATGGTTCTGTTGGCATCTTATCTGATATAACACTGGTGCCTTTAGTGATAGATTTGGGTCACAAGTTTGCTTGTCGTAATGTTATATCAGGGAGCAAAATAAATTGAAATGTACCACAGTGTGATGAGGCAAATGGCCAAAGTGTACGGGTTGTATTATTATAATTTACCCTGCTTCCCATCATGATAGTGCTGCCATCAGACTTCTATGGCAAAATATGTCCATGGTGTCCACTGATAGCTTAGTATTTCTGCTCCACCTTTTGTTTGAAGATTTTTTCCTTGACACACCTGTAGTTATGCACAATTGTGTTATGGAAAACAGTTCCCATTGTGTTCAGTAGAACTTACTTCAAAGTAAGGAGAATAGGATTACAGCTCATAGATCTGACAAATCAATAGTAGCAAATATTTTTCATAAGGTATTATGCAACTGAAATTTTTCAGAACAGAGAAATAAGTTTGCACAAATTCACTATAGTCTGAAAGACAAATTACTTAATATTAGTTAAAATCACTTAAAACAACAAAGGATAATCTTGCACCCATTAAATAAACCATACTAATGATTTCCCCATTAACCTTTTAAAATAAAAACTGGCTTGCGATATTTCTATTTCTCCAAGTCTTTCAACTAGGATTGGAAGCTACTGGCAGGAAGTTCTAATCTTTTAGTTGCATGTTACAGTTTGTATTATAGGAATAAAGTTCAATCATAGAACCCAAACTTTGGGGCTCTTGAAAAGCACCAACATGGCATTTCTCCTTCCCTATGCTGTGTGTGACAAGAGATTTTTCTTCTTTTTTAAATAGTGGTAAGTAAATTTCCTGCTTTCACATGAAGCCCTTTGAATTACTGTGAGAAGATTTGGAAATCTGTGAAAAGTAGTGTTAGTTAAAATAAGGATTTTATTCAATCTGTTGCAAAGGAAGCAAAATGAAGTGATACTGTTTTACTTCCTTTGCAGCTGATTTAAGCCTGTTTTAAATGTGCTTAGTAATAAATCTTAATACACTTGGTTGGACTTACTTTGGGGAGTTGTGTATAAGAACTAGCTACAGTTCTTGGTGTACTTATTGGAGAATAAATCCCATTGAACATGCTAAGACTTTGTTTTGAGTAAGCATGTATAAGATCATACTACAGGTTTGTGTGACTCAGTTCAGTTAAATGGTATTGGTGTATATGAAGTAAGACCATTTTGTTGGTTCCTGTGCATGGTGTGTTATATATAGAAGATTAGAATTTTTATTGTTCTTATAAATGACACCAAATTAGTTTTGCACTTTTCAGTTCTGCCAATAGAACAGCCTTCCATCTCAAGAGATTTCAGCTAGGACTGCAGATCAAGAAGTCCGTGTCCAATGAGCTTCCACTAAACCAGATCAGCCAAGACAGAGAACAAGCACTCTGTGTTGAAAGCAAACTACAGAGGTTTATTACAATTTGACCAAAAGGAATGCAAGTACCAGCCAATGCTCAAAGTGTACAGGCATAACTCCATACAACATAAAATACAACACATTTTATGCAGTTCTGACAGCCATTCAGATTTCCTGTACCTCCTCCTGATTGGCTGGGAAACCTTGTTGGCTAAGATCCATGCAGGGATTGACCAGAGATTTCCCTGACGTCACTGACAGGGGGAGGAGATCCCCATGGCAGGAAGAACAACAACTGAACATTGGTCAGTTTAAAGGTTCAGTCTTTTGCTGAGGGTGCAAAACTGGAAGGAAGTGATGGTGTGGGTATGCACATGATTCCTTGATTGACTTAAGTGTCGAGTTCCGTAGAGACAAAAGGTGCAAGACACAAAAGGTGACAATCCCAAATAACCGGAGGCTTGGCTGATGTATTCTTACTTGTTTAGCATTCTCTTCTGTGAGAATGACAAGCCTCCAGCCTTAGTCAAACAGGTGAATCCTAAGCTCATCTTGGTGACAAAAGAGTCATCCGATTTACATACACACAAGGGTTTGATTTCATCTGGCCTTAGAGATCCCTAGAAAGACCTTTCATTAATTATATAGCGATCTCCATTCCCAGGAGCTTATGCAAACGGGCATTGGGACAGAAGCTTTCTTTAGGATATGTTTGATATAAGTTTATACATTTAGAAATGGATACAGTATACAAGCAATACAAGTTACACAAGAAGTATCATTTTTATACATTTATCAAATGGTTTAGCTCTGATAGAGTTTGGGGTACAAGTGCTGCTGGGTTCTTCCAGCGCCTCCAGTGTTTTCAATATTGTGATACTTGGAAAAAGCAGAAGATGATAAAAATAAAGAAAAATGTATCATATTTCTTACTTGGAAGTCTTATTAATCATAATGTTTTGGGGAGGGGAATGTGGTGGCTTGACAACAAGTTGACTTCCAAATGGGCGTCTTTATTTGACACTAGCTAGTGATGCCCAGATTAGGTCTTTTTTAATGCTATTTTAAAGAAATAGTCATTCTGTTTTTATGAATGGTCCCATTAGAAAGTGCATAACATTCAGGGTCAGTAAAAATACTGGGGGGGGGGGGGGTTAGGGGGACTTCTTCAGTATTTTCTGTTGGTCATGGGGGTATGTGCCTGTGTGCCAGGTTTGGTCCAGATTTGTTGTCAGTGGGAGTCAAAAGGCTCTCTGGAATTGGGAGAATTTATTGACATATAATATAAAAATATTAGACATAAAGCTATAGATAAGACGTGCACAACAAAGAACTTTTTGAGCCACTTGTGACCTGCCAAGGAATTTTGGGCACGTGGCAAAAAAAGGTGGACAATATAAAGCAAACTGGAGGGGAAAGCACAGAAGGGATCATGATGTTTATACTCTTCAGCCAAACAAAAGGAGCTTCCCCTAATGGCCCCTCCATGGAAAGGCAGTGTAAATTCACACATCTTAGGAGCTCCTAAGATGTCATGCATGACAATGGTGTAGGTAGATGCTGGACAGCTCCTTTTCTTCCTTGGTGGCTTCGGCCTGATGCCATTCAAACATGGCAGCAGTACGAATCCGAAAGGCAATTTTGAGACGTTCTCTTCCTTCCACAGGTTTGTAAAGAGCACAAAAAGAGACTTTTTGGGTGGTCGGGTGGGGGGGGGGGAGAACGAGCACAGAATAGTACTATAACATAATGCTATACTATAAAAGTACTGTGATTGTACTTGAACTGCCATGGAAGCAATCTGTGTAATTTTGGGATTTGGGGTCTATTGTTATCTTACAGTATAGTACTACTGTAGTAAAAATTCTGAATCAAGAGTTGGTACATCTCCTTAGCCACATCAGAATTTTGAATGCCCATATATTCTTGTAGAGAAAGACTTGTCCCATTTGCTAACTCTCAAGCCACATTCTGTTCAGAAGCCCTTTGTTTTTGTATGAGTTTCCCCCGCCTAGCTGCATCCAACCAGGGCTGAGGTTTTGTTTTGTTTTGTTTTTGATGGAGTTGCAATTCCAATTTTTTCCAAACAGCAGGAATAGGAAAAGTGGCAGTGTATTTGTGTAGAAAGAAGGGAGTCTAGTTCAATCTAAGAGGAAAACAAGACACACTTGCAGGGGGGCGGATATGCAATTATGCAGAAGTTGAAAACAACCCAAGGTTGCTTTAGAAGTGGGTAAAGATGGTTCTCCTCATTGATCGAGGGAAAAATGCATTCAAATATGTACTGTTAGCAAACCATTTTTGTAACATTTATGTGATGTCATAATAAATAAAAATCTTAAGTAATAAGTGTAATTAATTGACGTTAATTGAAATTTCGCTTTGTTATAATATTGTTTACTTGCAAAATAGTTATTACTGTATATACTTGAGTATAAGCCTAGTTTTTTAGCCCCCTTTTTAGGCTGAAAAAGTCCCCCTCTCCTTTTGCTCAAGTGAGGGTCTTGGCAGGAAGGTGTAGGGCTGAAAGAAGGGTTTCTTTCAGCCCTACACCTTCCTGTCAGGACTCTCACCTCTCCGCATAGCAGCCCAGCTCTCCTTCCTCTTCTCCTTTACGCAGCATGCACCTTCATCTTCTCTCTCATTGTAGCGCATGCCTTCCTCTTCTGTCACCGCGCCAGTCTTTCCCACTTTTCCTTATTCATATAAACACAGCATTTCCCCCAAAATGTGTAATTAAAATAAACTATGGTGATTATTAGAAGGTTACGTATGCACATTTCCATTGAAGATTAGAATAATGGTATAATCGGAGTTGGACAATCTTATCTTAAATTACAGTTTTATGTAAATACTCAAAAACATTTAACCTACTGATACCTCAGTTAATGTAATGTTATTGGTATCGATTTTTTATTTTGAATTTTTCCAGTAACTGCTGCATTTCCTACCCTCGGCTTACGCTTGTGTCAATAAGTTCTCCTAGTTTTTTGTGGTAAAATTACGTGCCTTGGCTTATATTTGGGTTGGCTTATACTCGAGTAGTTGATTACGTATTTACTTGGAAAGTGAGGCCCCTACCTACTGCCAAGTTGTGCAGGTCTGTTATAAAGAAAACAGGTCTTTTATAAAGGATTAAATTAAAGCTATATTTTTCAGAACCATCAATACACTTGCAATTCATTGCTGATGCCAAGAAATGTGGCATATTTCCCTAATCATATTAATTTACTATTCATGGTTTTAAAGGGGAAAATACAGCGTTTTAGCCCAGCATCACCTTTCAACATTATTCTCTTTCAGTGTGCATAGAAGTTATAGTCCAAAAGGTTTTGACAGCTGAAATGTTGTGTATTTAATAGAGATTTTTTAAAAGTAACAAATTAGTGATACTAATTTCATTTTTTTTTTTGTTCACCAGAGACTCTACGGGGGTGGGTAATTCAGTGGTCCACAAGCGGTCTCCTTTACGTCGAAACCAAAAACCACCAATATCCTTGACCAAACTGTCCTCACGGGATGGACAGAAAGCCAAAAAACCAGTGTGCAAATTTGAAGAAGGCCAAGATGTCTTAGCTAGATGGTCAGATGGCTTGTTTTATCTTGGAACTATCAAAAAGGTAACATTTTTAACAGCACTATACAAATTGTAAGTATTTCTGTTCCTAGTGTTCAGGTATCACTATCTTAAAACTGCTTGATTTCAGATAAACAAACTCAAGCAGACCTGTTTTGTTATATTTGAAGACAGTTCCAAGTCCTGGATTCTCTGGAAGGACATACAAACAGGTAAGTAGTTAATTTTATTTTTAAAGGTTTTTTATTTTTATTGATTGAAACTTAAGAACCTCTCCTTTAATTTCCAGCCCCTTTAACCTTTTGAGGTATGTTGAACATGGTTATTGGTTTTTTTAAAGCTCCTGTTCATGTGATAAATAATCCCCCCTTTATCACCCACTTCGGACAGAATTACAAGGAAGAAGGTTGAAAAAGGAGAGGCCATAAATTGTGTCCAGTTTGTTTCAGATTGCATCAGGTGCTTTGGTGTGCAAAGAGGGAAGAAAGTCAAAACATTGCTAATTGAGGGTATTTGGAACATTTAAACCTCCTTTTTCATGACATGGACAGCAATCAATATTGGCTTGGAATTCTTTATTCTGTCCACTTTTATGTGTCCTGCTTATCTTCAAGCAACTGCTTCCACATCTCACCTTTCCACTGGAGCAGTGCTGCTCTAAATTGTGGTCTGTGGACGAGTGCCTATCACCGAACCATCCCAAGTTCTTGTAGAGCTTCCAAGAAAGAAAAGGTTATAGCTAATGGGGATAAATATGGCACTGGTCCTTGGCATACTAGGGAAAAAATGCCAATCCCCACATTTGATAGCTAGAAGCAGTGTGCTGTGTGATCTATCTGCTAGATCCTTTTTAAAAAAATTGTGTCAAAAGCATTGCATAAATAAATCTAAAACTGATAAAAGAAAGAGATCACAAGCTGCTAGATAGTTTTAGACCAAAAACAGGCAACAGCGATTGCATTGCGTGTAGCTTTACAACATGCTAGATCCTAATGCCTCTGTGACTCAGCTTGTTTCTCCCATTACATAGGCACAGTAGTGGGAGATATTTCTGGATCACAAATTTAATGGTCATATGTATGTGTTCTGTTGTCACGTTGGAAGGAAAACAAGCTTTGTATTTTTCAAAAGTAAAGCAATGCATCCTTTTCTTTTTTTAGGAGCTACTGAAAGTGGGGAAATGGTCTGTACAATATGCCAGGAAGAATATTCAGACGCACCCAATGAAATAGTTATTTGCGATAAGTGTGGCCAAGGTAACACAAACCTTGCAGCATGCTAAATTTTTAAAAGTTTGACCAACTTTTCCTCATGAATCCTTGGTTTAGGCATATTTAAGTGGAACATGAACTGAATTGTCATAAGATACATAACATATCTGCTAATATACTAGGATGTTTAGATGTAAATCAACATTTATATAAGATTAATTTGGTTTACTGTAGCTGACATTTAAGCTTTTATTTATAAGATCAACTGAAAGATAGCTTGCCTGTTCGGTATTAACAATCCCATTACAAAATGAAAACACATTTTTCTCCTATGCTCAGGTTATCATCAGCTGTGTCACACACCAAATATTGATTCTAGCGTGATAGATTCAGATGATAAATGGCTTTGCCGGCAGTGTGTCTTTGCAACAACAACAAAGGTAGGGAAATCATACATTGAACTTAATAAAGTTGAAAGTCAGATTTGCTTTTATCTGGCATTAGATGTTAGCATTTGCTACTTCAATCTTTTTTTTTTTATTCCAGAGGGGGGGCGCACTTAAGAAAGGACCAAATGCCAAAGCACTGCAAGTCATGAAGCAGACATTGCCTTACAATTTAGCCGACCTTGAATGGGATGCCGGCCATAAAACAAATGCCCAACAGTGTTATTGCTACTGTGGAGGTCCTGGAGAGTAAGCATATAGAAACGACTGTGAAAAGATTCTTTCTCTCAATAGTTATTTTCCTAAATATATTCACCAATAATGCATATTAATACTATATTTCTGAAATATGTATATTTATGAGACAGCTGTTACAACCATTTTGTGCCATGGGAGAACACCAACATCATTATGTTAGCATCAGACATTCCTTACACTTTCTGTTTTTCAGTTTTTTTAGTCTACAAACTCTCAAGAAATTACAATGTTTACATTCAGCACCTGTAAATACTTATATTGGGTCAAATTTCATTGACTCCAGTGATACTTAATCTCAAGTAAATATGTTGGGATTGGGCCACATGTTTAGTCAGATTGGAAATGTAAAATTCCTTACATGTTTTCATGCAATAAATGTTGCTATGAGTTCTTTCAGTCACTGGTACAATAATGCCACTCACATTCTTATGCAGTATGATAAAATCATATACAATCCAAATAGTATAGATGTTTTAAAAGAAAGATAAAAGACAATGAAACTCAAAACTTTACATGCTAAGGTTCATTCTCCCAGTTATAAGGAACATTGAAAAAATACCTGAAGCATAGGTGGTAACTGAATATAGATGGCAATTAAACTAAATTTCTAGGAGTAGGTATTAAATCATGAAGCCAGATAGTTGTCAGTGGTTTTGCAGCATAGATTTTGTTGCTTTAGAGGCAGCAAGTGTGATGAATTATGGGAGACGGTAATTTGATGCTTAAACCAATAAACAGATATTACATAAGGTCTTGAAGAAAGCAGTAAAACAGCTTAGGTAAATGCTACACATCCAGGCAAAAGATAACTAAAAAAATGAGTGCGGGATAGATGTGATCATTATTTTTTCAGATTAATCACACGAAATATTAAATGCATACCTTGAAGCCATGTATGTCTTGACCATTTCCCTCTTTTCCCCTATAAGTTAGCAGAACAGGAAGCCATGTTATATAGTGGCTTTCCTGTCTCTGTATTTGATAGATTTTTTCTATATGATAAATGAAAGGTGTCAAATTTGTGGCCCTCCGGGTGTTTTGGACTCCAACTCCCAGAAGCTCTAGTGAGCTTGCCCAATGGTCAAGAATTCTGGGAGCTGAAGCCCAAAACATCAGGAGGGCCACATGCTTTGATGCCACTGTGAGAAATTGTGCCTTTTGCTTATTCAACAGAAACCATGCCTGTAGTCCCAATGTGTTTTTTCCTTCCACACCATCAGTTCTAGAGAGTTGTGGGGAACTCCAGGAGCAGGTTGGGTACCACAAGAGGGCACTACAGCTGGGAGGGAGGGGAAAAGGAAACTGCCATTGCAAAATGTTTAGCCTGTGATCTGTACAAAAGACATAGTCAGAAAACACTTTAGCTGTCTTATAAAATTGAACTACCAGAATGACATATTTTCTGGCAATTGAATGTTTTGCCTTATGTCAGAAACCACCCTGAGTCCTCTTGGGGAGATAGGGCGGTATATAAATAAAGTTTTATATTATTACTACTATTACTACTACAGTGGGAACATATTGAACCATTTCAATTAAATTCTTCTTTTTCCTCTCTTTCTCGGATGAAGTTGGTATTTAAAGATGTTACAGTGCTGCAAATGTAAACAGTGGTTCCATGAGGCTTGTGTGCAGTGCCTCCAAAAGCCAATGCTTTATGGTGACAGGTAAGATCTGTTTGTTTATAAAGTGTGATGATTTTTTTTTCTTGAGGGAGAGGCCAAACTTCACATCTTTATTAAAGTTCAGTATTGTTGATTTCTTTAATTGCATTTATGATGTTTGCATGTTTTTACTGGTTCTTGTTATATCGTGTTTCATTTTTCTGCATATTTATTTATAGCTTGCTCTGATTATTTTTCACAGAAATTAGCTTATAAGTTTTGAAATAAAACTATCTTTCTATGTCTACAGTTAGTTTAGAAATTGAATTTTGCCCCTTACAGAATAAACAGGTTGGGTTTTTTATTTCACAAAGCTTCATAGCATAAGAGTTTAGATTTTGCTGCCATTTCTCTCAAAGCTGGCAATTAACAGTTTGTATTCACTGATATATGTAATGTGTATGTTTATGCCAATTTATTTGCTTTGTAAAGTCTTAAACATTTTGCAAAATTAATCTTTTGCTGATGGTGAACAAATTCACATAATTAAAATATTTTCTTTTTTAAAAGGTTTTATACATTCATTTGTTCAGTTTGTAGTTCTGGACCAGAATACCTCAAACGTTTACCCTTGCAATGGTAAGTACAAGTTAAGTGTGCACTGAAAAAATGTTGACTATATTTCCATGGCTGCCATTTGCTATATGGCTGTAACATGGCCATAATTTTGCTATTCTGTTAAGTTCGTAAACAAAGCACAAGTGGCCTTCTTACAACTCAGAAAGTATTGTGTCAGTTATTCCCCCCCCCCCCTTGCTAGTTTCTGCTTGTAGACATATTATTTCATGGACAAAAGAATAGAATAACAAACTTGTGAAATTTGTAGGAATTCATTAATGCTGCACATTGTGCTATCTGGTTTCTAAAGAGCCTTTGCTCAGTTTGTCTTCTAGACAGATTGTGTTCATACTTCTAAAATGTTAAACAATGCTAATTGTTTTCATTGAAACTTTTGAATTTTAGGGTAGATATAGCACATCTATGCCTTTACAACCTAAGTGTTATTCACAAAAAGAAATATTTTGATTCAGAGCTTGAACTCATGACATATATTAATGAAAATTGGGAGCGACTCCACCCTGGTGAAGTAAGTAGTTAAAATGTTCATATTGGTTAAGTGTGTCCTCTCGTTTAGAGGGTCAGACTATTAATACCTGATTATTATTTTTTCAAGTTTCATTAGCATCATTCAGATTCTAATCCAAAGGTTTATATATGAACATTGTTGGCTAGAGAGTGTGGATTCAATAGTCAACAGTTGGAAGTTACGGGTTCACGATTGATTGTTTTTTCTTTATTTTATTTTTATCCTGTTTACCGTATATACTCGAGTATAAGCCGACTTGAATATAAACGGAGGTACCAATTTTTACCACAAAAAAATGGGGAAACATTGACTCGAATATAAGCCGAGGGTGGGGGGTGCAGCAGCTACTGGTAAATTTCAAAATAAAAATAGATACCAGTAAAATTACATTAATTGAGGCATCAGTAGATTAAATGTTTTTGTAATTTAAGATAAGACTGTCCCCTTCTGTTTTAATCATTATTATAACATTCTTCAATGTAAATGTACTACTATAATAATAATAATAAATAGAGTAAAATAATAAATGTAATAATGACAATAATAAATGTAGAAAAATAATAATTGTAGTAAGAATAGAGTAAAATAATAAATGTAATAATAATAGAGTAAAATAATGTAAATGTAATAATAATAATAGAGTAAAATAATGTAAATGTAATAATAATAGAGTAAAATAATGTAAATGTAATAATAATAGAGTAAAATAATGTAAATGTAATAATAATAATAGAGTAAAATAATAAATATAATAATAATAGAATAAAATGATAAATAACTTTTACTTGAGTATAAGCCAAGGGAGGCTTTTTCAGCCTAAAAAGGAGCTGAAAAACTCAGCTTATTCTCGAGTATATATGATATCTTCCAGTTTTGGTAGAAAGACGGTTAACAATAAATATAAAATAATTCTAACAAAAAACAATGTGAATACATCAATATATATATTTTTTAAAACAACTAAATTATGCTGCTGAAACCATTAAACATTAAAATGCATTAACATTTTGTATTCACTTTAAAATTCCAATCACACCACCTGTAAAAGCCCAACTCATGTGAGTTTATAAATGCCTGATGGGGATGACATGTTTTTACCTATTGATGAAAGTGCAGTAGTGATGGGGCCATCCTGGCCTCTCTAATGATGATGTTCCAAAGTGTGGAACCAGCCAACCAAAAGGCTCACTCTCTTGTTCCCACCAAAGAGTTTTGATTAATTGCATGATTTTGTTTTTTAATATGTCATCTCTTTACGATGAGATGTCAACCAGTAAATATTATCACAAAGTTATTACATTAGGAGTTATTCTTATAGTCCAAAGAATCCTTGCTTAGAATTTATGTTATTTTGAAACAGTTTGTTGTGTTAGGTATCCAAATGCATTTTATTTTACATTTTACCAAAGCACCAAACATTTTATATCATTAGTAAAATAGAAAAGATACACTCCATTTTTCAAACAGATATTTATATACCCGTATATTCCGGCATATAAGACGACTGGGTGTATAAGACGACCCCCAACTTTTCCAGTTAAAATATAGAGTTAAGACGACTCCCATGCATAAGACTACAGCCGCGTATAAGACGACCCCTGACTTTTGAGAAGATTTTCTTGGGTTAAAAAGTAGTCTTATATGCCAGAATATACTGTAGTTTTATTCTTGAATTCATATTATTCTGTATGATATCGTAGGATAAGTCACATTCTATTTTAGTCATCACATTAACATGTTGTTTTACCAGTCACTAAATATTCTAGAACATAATGTTATTCTTTTAAAAATGTGTAGGAATTCTAAAATACAACTGTGTTCTGTGCATCTTTGATCTGCTTGCTGAGTGTGTTAGTATTTAAGGGTTTTACTCGAAGTCTTAGTAAGTTAAACCACTTCTTAATACTTTACAGTTGGCGGATACCCCTAAATCTGAAAGATACCAACATGTTCTGGAGGCATTAAATGATTACAAGACAATGTAAGTTGATGCACATCTGAAATATATTTTTCTCTTTGGTTTTGATTTGTCTGATGCTGCACATGCTAATCTTCTGAAATTCTTTTAAGACATGCTCATGATGACAACATAAAGTGCAAAGGTTTTGCACTTCTTAAACAGGTTTTAAAATCCATCTTGGGATTATTGGATAGAAATTGGTTAGATTTACTCTAGAATTGCTTTTCTAGGCTAGAATAGACCCCTTGAATTAATTACCTATAGTAAGTCAACACTTATAAAACAAATATCTTGGTTGTATGGGTTTGCTTCAGTTGGGACAAACAGTTGAATCTAGGCTATTTTTCATAACCTCTACATTTGAGTGGATTTAAGTTAGGAACAAAAAAAAAACCCCAGTCAGTATAAGGTTTCAGTATACATCTGATAAAATGCTTAGTGTGCCCTAGTATTCTGTATTTAACATTTCAGGTTTATGTCTGGGAAGGAAATAAAGAAGAAAAAACATTTGTTTGGCTTGAGAATTCGTGTTCCACCTTGCCCACCGAATGCTACTTTTAAGGCTGAGAAGGAGCCTGAAGGAACTTCACATGAATTCAAAATCAAGGGCAGAAAATCTTCTAAACCTGTGCCTGATCAGAGGTAAGACTAGTTCAGCAGCTGAAAAAGATTTAAGTTGGACTAGATATTCTTCAACATTCTGAATATTCTTCTCACAAAAATACATCGTATCTAACATTGCATGAACTGAAGGTGAGCTTATGCAGTACATCTTGCCTTTTTCCATTTGCAGTGCTGAGCAGGTCTATTCAGCTTAAGCAATAGTGAGGAATGCTGGAAGATGCAGTTCCACATTTGGAGGGTTTCAAAATTCTCATGCTTATGCTAGAATGTGAGGAAACGGCAATGGCTTTTAGAGTCAGTTTCTAATAGGGAAAAAACTATGTTAATTTATCAAAATACATTTATTTTTACTAAATCTACACAACTGAAAAAACATTCTTTTTTGAAAAACTATACATTCCAAATATAGGCCAATTGTGTGTCATTTTTTAAAACTGAATTCTCAACTTTTTAAAGGGAAATTACCAATGGCGTTGAAAAGAAGGGAAAGAAAAAATCTGTGGGCCGTCCACCTGGCCCATATACCAGAAAAATGATTCAGAAAATGTCTGAGCCAACTCCTTTGGTAAGTGATATTTACACTTATGTGTGTCTTATTCTCTTGGCTAAAAATGAACAATTGGTCAAACTGTATTTAAAGAACCAGTCTCTTTATGTTTATTGGCAAGTTGAATTTCTGCAGAGCTTGAAAGAACCTGTTTTCTTTTTTTCCCCATCTATCTTTGCGGAAAGGAGCCTGTTGTAGTGCAAGAATCCCCTACTTTGGATTTACCTAGCACTACTGGGTAAGTCAGGAAAATCTGCTGTATTTTCTTTATTAATTGGCTAATGTCAGCTTAGATCAGGTTTTGATATTTGCTTTATTTTGGTTGCATGTCACTGTGAACTGGCTCAGAAGATCTGATGGAACTGCACACTCTTCCAATACCTCAGACGTGGAATCCACCGGTGCTGCCAGTACAAAGGAAACTACCTCAAACAATACTTCCAAGCATTACAGGTATGCTGCAGTTTTCATTTGTCCTACACGTGTGTGTGTGTGTGTGTGTATGTGTGTAAGGCAACAAATTATAGCAAACCATAGTGCCTTAAATTATGCCAACTAAAAAACTGAATATTTTGATTCTCCTTGTCCCCCATGTGCATGAACCGGCCCAAGCCTCCCCCTAACCCAGATGCTAATCATTCTCCCGCTTGATCCCACCTCTTCCCAGTGGCTTCTTTGTCCACAGAAGGGGAACACCACAGAACAACTTCCGCCATGGTCATCTTGAAAGGCCACTAGGTGGGGCAGGGGAGAGATAACAGCTTTTTGTTCCATATTTTTGAAGACTGTATTTTTTATGTTTTGAATATTTATTTTTTTAAAATAATGTTTTCTATCTTGATTGATTGAATTTATCAATTCAAAGCCTGCAGATATGTAAAGCCCACCATAATCAGTTACTTTAAAACAGAGGTTTCCAACCTTTGAGCCTCCAGGTGTTTTGGACTTCAACTCCCAGAAATCCCAGCCAGTTTACCAGCTATTAGGAACTGTCGGAGCTGAAGTCCATGTGATGCCACTGCATGCCAGTTACAACTGCATCCTTACAAAATGATTTGTTCGATACTGTTTTATGTACTTTTCATAAATATATACTTTCTTTCCCTAGAAATCTTTGTTCATTTTTATACCCCTTCAAAATGTGGGAGATCTTTATACCCCACACTATGTACATTGGTATACAGTGTGCCTTTCAGCAATGCAGCTGTCCCTATGATGCATCAGATATATTTTGCTTGGTGTGTAGTTGAATTGCGCCCTGCTGCTCAGTAAGTCCTGTAGTGTTGTGGTGCCAGCCTGCTTTCTGCTGTCCTATTAGGCAATGACAGCTGAATCAGCTCCTGCAGGTTCTGGTGTAGTAACATCCCAATTTGATGTCCATCTCAAGAGCCATACTAATGAAATACATCTAAAAGTGTAACTTCCTGTTTTAATTGTTGGCAGTTTGTCTGACTCGAGAAAAAGGACACGTACAGGACGAACTTGGCCAGCTGCAATACCACACTTAAGGAGAAGAGGACGCCTTCCAAGGAAAGCACTCCAGATCCAGAACTCGGAAATAGTGAAAGATGATGAAAGCAAAGATGATTATCAATACGATGAACTCAATACAGAGATTCTGAATAATTTGGCTGACCAAGAGTTACAGCTTAATCATCTCAAGAACTCTATTACCAGTTACTTTGGTGCAGCAGGTAGGATAGCTTGTGGTGAAAAATACCGTGTTTTGGCACGTCGGGTGACACTTGATGGAAAGGTGCAGTATCTTGTGGAGTGGGAAGGCGCAACTGCTTCCTGACTCTCGTACTGCCCAGATCTATTTATAGACATAGTTCATAAATCAGGGGTGCAGAAGGAAGGTGGTTTTTTTGTATTTTTGAAAATGGAAACCAAGTTAGCCTTAACTCTTGCTTCTTAACAGTATAAACCTTGTGACAAAGAATCTACCCATTTAAAATAATCTGGATTCTTTTTAAAATGACAACTTTGGGAATCTGGAATTATGGTTACTTTAAAATATGCACAAACTCAAAGAGACTTTTAGGATACATTCCATTTTTGTTGTTGGTAGGGACTCTTTTCTATAACTAGAACAAGTTTTTGGTAAAATTCTTAATCTTTTCTTACTGAAATCTTTGCAAAAGTGTATTTCTACTTTGACAACCCTAGATTTTCATAAGGTGCAGTGTATATAATTCCTACTGAGGACTGTAAAATATTGAAATCTTCTGTCAAGCAAAGTGTAAAATATATATATGGAGCTTGTAAATTGCTCTGTGACTAGACTTTGTTGTCTTTTTAATATATTCTTTGCATGTGTGTATTTGTGTGATTGTGACCTATGCAATATAAATTATGGGATTGGGCAGCTTCTGACTTTGTATCCCATAATTCTTTTTATCAGGAATAGTTGCAGTATTTACACAGCAGCATTTCTTCTCAGGCTTTATTGAGTGCTGTTGCTTACCATGGACTACAGAATATGTGTCAAATGAATGCTGTGTGTTCTGACATAAGTGCAGTCAATGTCATATGCCTTTAGAAAATGGTTTCAGTTGCGATCCTGCTCTTTTGGTCTAGCGATTGAGAGATTTAGAGTGCCTCTCAGGTTCACATGCTGCCTCCCCTTTGCAGGTTTCATCCTCCTTTCAGCATGAAGCATGTTGAAATGCTATGTGTTCACTGAACGTCATGGGCACCTCTTGGTGAGCTCTGGGAAAGACGGGGGGATTTGGAGGAAGTGTATGCTCCTGCTTTCTTAGCCATGAATAATAAGAGATCTAGAAATATTGCATCTATAGTGGGCCAGGTTGCTTGAGGGTTGCAATCCTATCCTTGTGTACTTGGGAGCAAATCCTTTTGAATTTGAAGGAAACTACCTTCTAATCAGACATCTGTAGGTCTGTGCTGTAATTCTCCTTTAGAAAAAGTTAGTCATTTGAGAAAAATATCAGGACTTTAACATTTGAACCTGGACTCTGCTTAAGAAAAAAAGACATCTAAGGATTTGTGACATACTGATTGTAAATTTTGTATCCCAGTTTTTAAAAAATGTCAGCAGGAATCATACAAGATTCCTTTATGTGATGTTTTGTAGTTGTGTTTTATAAACGTAGTTGGAATAAAGTGTATAATTAATTGCACAGGGTCAACAAACAGTATGTTGCCACTTGAAGTAACAGTACTGCTATTATTACAATATTACCTCTTCTGTCCTTAGAAATATGAATCCGTTTTTAAATAACTTTATTTTACTTGTAATATAACAATTGCTTTTTTTTTGGCCGAGATTAGATGTCCGTTCTTTTATCTGTTGAAGGTTTTTTTTGTACTTTTTTGCCAAAGAATCAACACAGCAATTTTAATTTGGATATTCTGCATTTTACTTCCTAATGTTTTGCTGTTAGACATGAGTTTATCAACGAAGTAAAAACGTAATATTAATGAATTCTGTAGCATTTAAACATGACTTGCATACTTAGACCATAACTTTTTGATATTTAATTTTTTAAAGCCTGTTGCAATTGTCAAGGGAAAAGAATTCCCTTTGACAGCATAATATATAGCCAAAGGAAGAATAGACAAATTGGTTGCCCTGTGCTTGTGGTTAGCTGACAGGCTTTACAAAGTCATTATTAGAATATACTTCTGATTTCCTTCATTAAAAATGTGGGTCTTTTCCCCTCTCACGTCGTCTCAACTATTACAATAAAGTTGCCTTGCCTATAGCTGCAATATTTTGATAAGACGCAAGTTACTTCATGAATGTTGGTCTCTTGAAATAATGCAAAATGTAGATGTCTGTAATGTTACAACCAGTTTCTTCATTCATTTTCTGCAGTCTTTTTAATTGACACTGAACACCAGCAGTATTTCCAGTAGGGCTTCCATACTAAGATACCAATTGAATTCAAGTTGGAGAGAAAACATAACAAATTATCAACAGAATTAATTGTGAATGTGTGTGAGTTTTCATTTTGTCAAAGTGGCTAATACATTTGTATTTCTGAAACTGTTTTCTAGAATTTAAAATCAATATTAAATGTCTGTATTTTTAAGAAAATCTGTTTCTATTTTCATTTTTACTTAATGATTATAATAGCACCCTTATTTTAGGATGTTTGTTTCTAAGGCAAATATGAAGGATGATTGAAATCAAAGCAAGAACTGAGATTTTAAAGTGGTCAGTAGAAGGCTTTTTACATATGCGAGATCCTAGTTCCAAGTTTATATACTCAAAATTCCTAGTTTTATCCCAAGAAAATAGTTAGGTAGTAGCAGAATGCCAGGACTGTTTCGGGAAGTATTTGAATAGAAGAATGTGTAGCAGGGTGGTGGGTTTTTCGTCTGAATAAAATAGAATTGAGCTAATTGCTGGAGCCGTCTTTCACTATATGTTCATTGGAGCATCCTGTATACATTTATGAACAAGTCTAGAAATTTTAGTCAAAATGAACCCTCCAAATGTGGAAAGAGTTATCCCTGGAGCGTTAAGTACTATAACTTAACTGTTTATTTAAAAAAAAGGAACTATCCTTCCCTGAATTACATAACAAGAGATAAGAGTTTAATCTATCCTGAAGAACCTAAAAGCACCAACGTCCTCGACTTTTTGTGGTGGTCATTATAGCCAGGGTGACTGGCCCTCTGAGAAATACTGACGTTTTCCCTTTATACAGAATGACTCTTGACTTGATGGATCAAATCAAATCCCTAGCTGTAGTCCCAAAACCTGCCATAGAGTTATATATGAAGATAGTGTTGTCTGTTTGTTACTTGCTAGTTGCCTGTGATTTTTAGTTTTTGAACTTGTAGCACTTCAATTTGATTATAAATTTGAGTAAATATAAAGTCCAAATTTGAGATGCCAGAATTGTCCAGCATATTGCATGTAGTAGCCTCACTTGTTTTGCATGCGGTAACGGTGATTCCAACAAATATATAGTAGTTATGTTTCATAAACTCTGTGATATGGCAGATTAAGGATCTATTAAGAGACACTTTAAAAAAATCTTAAATAGTAATGTATGTAGTATGTGTGAAGTTCAAAGATTGCTTGTAATTACCCCACAACATTAATCTTAAAATGTGACTTATCATTTATCATTTCCCCTCTAAACATGTATTAGTAAATAACATCCTATTAACAGTGTTGACCACCCATGTTTTCCAGATTTTCACAGTAATTTGTATAACTTTGTTAGTATGAGTAGGCTGCTTACTTCATTGTCCTACACAGAGACAAGGGCAATCCTTATTCAGATTAAAACTGGTTTTCATTGTTCAGTTTAAGAAGACGCATTTAGGAATACATACAGGGGTTAAGATTTCTTTATTATCTTTTCTCATTTCACAGCTCCATGTTTAGCCATTTCATATCTTGTTCAAATAACAAATAATTTCTTGCATTTCACTTACAAAGTTATAAAAGCTTTATTGTCCTCTGTTCTAATTATACAATATACCCATGAGTTCCAAAGTTAGGAAATATTTGACAAACCCACTACCTCTATAAAAATTCTTACTGGAAGTCAAAATTGTATCATCCTGGAAGAATGGACCAATAAACAGTAGCATAAACATCAGAGGTAGAAGGATTAGTCACAGTTTTCTGGTATGGATATTTATTAACAAACAGTGCTATAGTCCTGAGGTCATTCACATTCTAAATTTTGTTGTTCATTTTGGAGGGACGTGCTCATTTCAGTTGTTTGGTCTCCTTTAGAACAGAAAGCCATTCTTTTATTCACTTGAGCCTATTTTCAGTGGATGGTAGCATGTGTGCATTTAGCCACTAGAGCAGGGGTCCTCAAACTTTTAAACCAAGAGGGCTGGTTCATGGTCCCTCAGACTGTTGGAGGGCTGGATTATAATTTGAAAAAAAAAATACTGAATTCCTATGCACATTGCACATATTTGTAGTGTAAAAAACACTTTAAAACAATACAACAATGAAAATGAAACAAATTTAACAAATATAAACTTATTAGTATTTCAATGGGAAATATGGGCCTGCGTTTGGCTGATGAGATAGAATTGTTGCTATGTGCATTCAAGTAGTTTCAGACTTAGCTTGACCCTGAGTGTGGGCCGGGTAAATGACCTTGGAGGGCTGTATCTGGCCCTCAGGCCTTGTTTGAGGACCCCTGCACTTAGAGTATCAATGCAGTTTAAGGTTATTATATTAAGTAGGTGGCTGCATATAGTTTTCAGGGATCTTGATTGGGATTCCCACTGCTACGTTCTCAAAAATGACTCTTGGGCTTGCAGTGGTCATTTAACTAACCCTTCCTCTGGCATCTAATGTGAAACAAATCCATGCAAAGAGGTCTATCAATGCAACTTCAGTGATATAGTAATTTTCCTGTTATTCAAGTTACGTGTTAGCAATTTATATCTTTGGATACAGCGTACATGTGAAATAGGAAGCCAGCACTTCCATCTAGCCATGGAACACTATTTTATGGCATTATGAAGTATATATTAAATAAGTTTATACCTATTTTTACTTCTTTATTTTTTTTCTTTTCTTTTTTGCTTGGCTCATATAAATGAAATTTAGCTCAAACCAAATAAGGGTTTTCCAGTTTTCCCTCTTCAGCTTACCAGCATGAAGAGCTGCAAATTTCAGTATCTCCAGTTAATAGTTTATTAAGGGCTTTACATTATTTTTGACAGTCAAGAACGTGGTATAGACCTAACATCTAAAAAAGTCTTGAACAATCTTTTTTTATTATGTCAGAAGTGACTTGAGAAACTTCTGTTATTAGAGAATTGGCCGTCTGCAGAGACGTTGCCCAGTGGATGCCAGGATATATTACCCATCCTGTGGGTCTCCGCATGGGAAGCTGGAGCTGACAGACGGGAGCTCACCCCGTCTCACAGATTCAAACCACTGACCTTCAGACCAGCCGATACAAGGGTTTAACCCATTGTGCCACGACGTCTCCTCTCTTGAACTATCTTTAAGACAGAAAGTAAATGCAAGCCCCCATATTACTGATTTTTTTTTTCACTGAAAAAGACAACTTTCAGCTTCTAGGGGCTGTTGGAGGACAATTCTCCAGGTTTAAGCCCTCCCACAGATGTTTCACATTAAAGGATTCATGTGGTTTTGGGGGGGGGGGGGTAATACTTCTGGTTAACTCATTCCAGGGGAAAATTGGCTCTAAAGCAAAGGGTTCCATACATTAGTTTTTAAATTCTCTTCTATCATAAGGAAAGTAGCAAGAAACAAATACTGCAAACTTTTTAAAAGTTGGATTTTCAGTTAATCTGAAAGTGACTTGTTCTCAAGGTCAAACATAATCATTATTTTACAAAGAAATTATAAGGGACACCATTTTACTATGTCATCATATATAAGGGAATTTGAATATCCAGATTTTTGTATTCACTGGAACCAAACCCTAGGGATATACAGAGGCCCCACTGTATTAGAAATGAGACCAGATGCTACTTAACTCATCACAAGCCTTGCAATTGTAGTTTTTCTAGGTTCTTACCTTGCTCTGAACAGTTTAATTTCTGGAGTATACATGTGATGTAATCAATGAAGAACATTGTAATAGTCAAACTTTGGTTTAAGACACAGACATAGGCCTCTATATAGGTCATCCATATTTTACTAATTTGAATGGCAGAATAAATACAGGATTGCAGAAGTCTCAAAAGCTAACAAATGAAACTGGTAGTAATGGAAGTCTAAAAATAATTGTCGGATCTAAACACTGAATTGCTAGTATGCCCAAGTGCTTGCATCATGAAGAGGTTACATAAACCAAAGGCAATATTTTGTCTTCAGAAGATAAATAAAATTGGTGTCTCTTCAACATGTTAATCCCTGGGACGGGAGATCTACTTAATTGCATAATGTCATATCTGTAAATCTCACTGTTTCCAAAAGTCTACCATAATTATTATGACTAGCAATTGGACTTAAGCCACACTGTTTAAAGGCAATACAATATTGATGTTAATTGACTGAATATTTCCGTTAATTGGTATCAATCACAAGTCTTCACTTATAGCCACTCAAAACAAGTGGACTTTAATAACAGTATACCGTACCCATATAAAATATTTTTAAGTGAGCTTCTCAAATCAGAAATGCTGAATACACCTCCAGTTCATAACTATGAAATGTTCTTTACTCTTTAATAAAAAAAATCTTATATTTAGGCTGACAGTGGTTAAGACAGCATGTATATGCAAATATGGTAAATAGTAAAAATCTAAACTTGCTCAAGTAATTTCTTCAAAGTAAAAAGGTCAAGGTTATTCAGAGAAGTATTCAGTTACATTTAATGGCTAAATTTTTGGAGCAAAGAAAGGCACTCTGCTCACATTTGTCCATTCAAAACAAGCTATGAAGTGCCATCAATCTCCTCTGCAGCAGTTTACTGAATTTTTCCTTGTTTACCCTGGCATTACGTTCTAATTTTCCTTTTATCTTCAAAAAGGTTCTTCAGCATGTACACCTGAACAGCTGACACTACAACCATTACTGCCAGGTTAACCATGGACCAAAAGTTTACCCTGTCGAAATTGCTCTCTTGTATGTTTCTATCACGAGCTTCAAATGCTTTGAGCAGGGTCTGAATGTGGATGCTTTTGCTTAGCCTGGACTTCACACTATTGACAGATTCCTATGGAAAGACAAGACACAAGTTTTAGAACAGTATATCGTTTGAGGGAGTATAGAAGACTAACTAATACTCCTTCCTTGCTATTTATATGTATTAATCCACATAATTTGTTAATTTTAAATATTTATTTATTTAAAACATTTATATTCTGCCCTTCTTACACACAACATATGTCAGTGCAGGGACATAAAATAAACTATGAACATACATAAACACTCAAATCAGTTATCTCGACGTTAAAATCCACTGTTTAAAACCATCTCTGATCATCCATATATATGTTCTGTGTTATTCTTGAACCTTGCCAGTTCATAGAAAGCTACCTTACACAAAGTCATATCATTGGACCATCTACCCCAGTACTGCTTACACTGCCATGGCAATAATTCTCAACAGTTAAAGGCTGATGTTTTCCAGCTCTTATCAGGAGAGACACCAGGCAGAGATTCTGAAACTTTAGCATGTGATTCTACAGGGAGTTTGGAAGTAGTCCTCTTATAACTTATTCACAGTATTCCTCGTGGTCATAGCCAAATCCAGCAATATCAAAGTAGATTTGTTCTCCTAGTTTGGTGCTTAGACTAGAGGACCCCCGAGTACACCATCACCTAAGCTTTAGAAACATGATGTTGCCCATACATCTGAAAGGATTATTCATCTGGTCTAAAGAGCAGCAAACAATGATACTCCTAACTTTGTATCTCTGTTGCTGGCACAGAGTACATCAACTGACATTTGTAGAGGGAGCCAGCCAAAATTTGCCATGTTTTTATGACCGCCCTGCATGATCAAAAGTAAAAGGAAGGAAGTGTATACTTGATACAACAAAGACAGGATAAGAACTTAATGGATTATACAGCCCAAAAAAATGTTTTTTTCCCCTTGCTCATCTTGGTTTTTAGGCTTGTTGTTGGGGTTATTTGGGGGGTTGATTCAGAAAATTACAATGGAAAGACCACATCAGCTCACGATTCTTCGATATGGTTATCATGGTTTCTTATGGGTTAGAAGGTGAAGACTGATACATTCTGTATCTCAAAAAAATGTATGGGGAAACTATATGTCCCCCTATACTGGTTTCCATTTTTTGGAACCAGTAGGTCAGATATACCCAGAAACAACTAACATTTGAAACACCAAAATGTATGTTGGCCAATGTTATGTACTGGCAATTGTAGAAACAGCTGTGTGGCCACTGCATGCTGCATTTCTTTCTGTGTAATCTTAACTGGCAAAGAAGAGCAAGTGAATGTAAATAATTAATAGTCACAAGTTCCACAAAAATGCAAAGGTTGTTCATGTATACATACCTGAATATCTTCTAACTTCATATCCAGAAGATCAGTGCCAGTAATATACTGCTTCCAATCTTCTTGCTCTTCATCTCCCATGTTATCTAAGATCAATTCAAAGAAAATCACCTTCTCTGACAAGGTGCTGAATGTGTTGTCAAAGCAGAACATGTAATCACCAGCCTGTGTTTCCACTCTGTGAACACAAGGTACACACAAGGTAAATGGTTTTTAAATCCTTTTCATTATTATATTAAATTAGCAACTTGCATGCCTTGAATCTCACATTTCAAGATAGAATTTGGTTTTTTATTCCTTTCAATGCACCTTCCAATTCATATATTTCCCCAAAGATTTGGAGGCTTTTCAATTGTGTTGTGAAGGAGGGCTGGAAATAAATTAACTTATTTTCACTAGTCTCCAGACTTAAATCTTTTCTTCCCTTTAGCTTGAAAGTGGTTTTTTAAGCCATCTTGCTTATGTTTTTGGAAAAACTGGATTTGGTAATATTAAACTTACGTGTGCACTCCATCTGATTTTCTTTGTTCAAAAACCAAGGTTTCATGAGTTGGTGATACAAGGTGAAAATCTACATCTAAACCTGCTCCATCTAGAACCTGGGGAGATACAAACAGCAGATAAAAATTACACTTTTGCTCAAGTTATAGAGAGTTAAGTCATATCATTGTTCGATTTATTACATTTTCACGTTTATTGCAGTTATCCATAATTTGTATTTTATTGAAACTTTATTTAAAAGCTGTAGTTGTCAATACTATTTTAATGTATTATAATAATTTGATAAAGTTATTGTCTACATTACATTGGACATAGAGGAAATGCTAAAACATCAGTACTCTCCACCATCCTAATTATTGTAGAACAATAGTTGAATTATCTGGCAAGATAATACAACAGGACAGTGCTCAGAGGACCATATTAATATGAGTAGCAACTCATTCAACATGATCCATAGATTTTGCTATTTACTGCTGCAACGCCACATCAAAAATCTTCATTATTCCAGCTCTCCTTCACCATGCTACCAATGTCGACATTGGTTGGATAAAGAATGAAGAACAATGGGAGATGAAATAGCTTTGGAGTGGGGTGGGGGTGGGGGAGCTTTTTTGTTAGATACTCTGTAAAGTGAGCAAAAGAAACACATGCAGGTAAGTTGTGGCCTGTCCGTTCTCTGAAATCAGGACTGAAACAGTGTCAGTTCTACCTTAGCCTCGCACTTTTCTGTTCATCATAGTTTCAACATCTTTTGCTTACATTTCTTAATCTAGTCCAAATATTCAGCAGAACTTATCTGCCAGCTAGATCCATCCAATCAAACTCCTCAAACCAGTTTGAGCCAGATATCAGTTGACATCTGGCTAGGCTGTTTGCTCCCTAAAACAAACAGGAACTGTCACTATCCTTCAAGACAGATAAAGCATGCCTGACGTGGCCTTTCAACAAGCTTATTAAACTAGCTAAGAACATTAGTTCCCCCCTAAATGTTCTTAGCTTGCAAATTAGGGGAAACCCATAGTGTAGAATCACAGGAAGCTGTTTGGTTCATCTGGGATTGTCAACTCAAGCTGAGGGTAGCTCTAGACTCATTTCAGGGTTCCTTCCTCTTCTTGTCTGGAGATCCCTGAAGGGCTAACATACAAGTGTTAATCAAAGTTGATCCTGCTTAGTTTCCAAAATCAGACAAGGTTGGATCTATTAAAATGAAAGGTTATATCTTTTACAGATCTACAAAGCAGTGCTTAAATGCAGAATTCAAAACATGACTAAAAGATCACACTATGGACAGCTGTGAAATAATTTTCTCTGCACCATCATCAATCCAAGACCAAATAAACAACACATGGGCTTCAATTCTAGAGGTAAACCCCATTGAAAAAAAGATTCATTTTTATATATAAAGGCTTGTCCCTCAAATGGTCCAAAGGTGAGTGTATTGCAAATATGTTTTTTTTAAGTACACAATGCACACACATACAGGAAAGCCACAAGTCAAGGCAGACCTTAAGTTTGCAGGATTTATCACCAGAGACAGGGACAAGTCAATCTTGAATACTGAACAACCCTGTACTGACACACTAAAATCTGCTCCTGGACATCCCATAAAAACATTCCTCGTTTTAGTAGTTTAAGGTTTAGACTATGTGACTCATTTTGTGCTGCTTTTGTTAAATGCCTTGAAAGAGGCTGTTTCAAATCCAAACATTTACCAGTAGATCCTGATCAAAACTCCCCAGCATTTTTCCCTCCCTGATGCTCAGTGAGTTTTACACACATACAGCTCCTTGTGCGACAATATCTGCATTACCAGCCTGAACAAACACAAGGAGGTTTGGAAAGTGAAACACTGGAATTGAATACTGTATATCTGTAAGTGCCAGTCCATCCAACGGTGATGGTTTCTTGGCACACTACACATAACACTAGTTAACACGGCAGCCTAATAGTCCTCTCTTGGCAAGTTTATCCCATCTCCTTTCTGATTCCCAGCCAGCATTATACTACATTTCAATAATTGTCCACCATGTATGGATAACTACGCACTTTGGCTTTGGACAATATCATTCCTCCTGGCTTTGTCCCCAAATACCTTGTTCAAAACTGAGCTTGCCTCCTCATCACCCATACCCACCCGTTTTGCATTTCGAAGGCCATTCATACACACACGTCTGTTCCTGGCCACTTCACTCCATTCATCTGAGAAAACAGATGTGGGTGAGCAGATGGCAACTACTGGATGGCATATGTTCTGTATTAGAAACGACAGCCGATGTGGTCTATCCAATGCAATTTTCTGAATCCACACCCAAATAACCAAACCAAATCTAAAGTTCACAAAAAACTGATTCATAATCCTTTTGGTACTAACGTTGAAGAGTGGTCCCTGGTCAAAAAAAGGTTGGGTACCACTGATATAGTCCAAAGCAGCATGAGCAAACTTTGGCCCTCCAAGGTGTTTTGGAATTCAACGCCCACATTTTCTAATAACCTACTGGATGGGTTGCTGTAAGTTTTTCAGGTCATATGGCCATGTTTCAGCAGCAATCTATCCTGACGTTTCGCCTGTACCTGTGACTGACATCTTGGAGGTTCTGTTGGTAGTGAGGCAAGTGGAACATTTGAACAGAACCTCTGAAGATGCCAGCTACTGATGCAAGTGAAACATCAGCCCAAAAAACTTACAGCAACCCAGTGATTCCGTCCATGAAAACCTTCGACAGCCTACACAGAAACAGGGAAATCCAGGCAGCAAACAATCAGGTGAAAAGGCTGAAAGTGTAATTTGTGTTTTGGGAATTGAAAGTGTAGTTTGTGAGAATACAAACCTGCCGGAGAGAAGTGGGGGACAGTTTCTTGTTACATACTGGGGAAAGGAGAGGAGAAAGTTAGAACTCACTTAATGTGAGAACCTGGAAGGTTTTGGAATTAAGACATGCTCACAATGAAAGTCACTGGAAACCAAGTCTTTATTTTCCTTCTTGCCAGGATTCAAGAAAGTCAGTTCTAACTTTCTCCTCCCCTTTCCTCAGTAGGAAACTATGCCCCACCTCCCCCCGCCCCCCCCACCAGATTGTATTCTCACAAACTACACTTTCAGTTCCCAAAACACTGCCAGGTGCTCTTATCTATGTAACATTCCCCAGCTCTTTCCCATCCTCCCCTTTTGCCCCAGCATGGCCTTCATGTCAGGACGGCCTGGGCAGCATGCATTTCAAGCGGTTGCATTGGGCTTCCTGACAATTAACACCTCCTAAACAAAGGAATTTGTGTCAGGAGCGACTTAAGAAACTGCAAGTCGCTTCTGGTGTGAGAGAATTGGCTGTCTTGCAAGGACATTGTCTTGGGGATGCCCAGATGTTTGATGTTTTACCATCCTTGTGGGAGGCTTCTCTCATGTCTCCACATGGGGAGCTGCAGTTGACAGACTGGAGCTCAATCCGCTGTCATCGGATTCAAACCTCTGGCCTTTCAGTCAGCAATTCTGCTGACACAAGGGTTTAACCCACTGAGCCACCGGGGGCCAGATGCTCTTATCTATGCAACATTCCCCAGCTCTTTCCCATCCTCCCCCAGCATGTCAGGACGGCCTGGACAGCCTTTTCATGCAGCTGCATTGCGCTTCCTGAGACGTGCCAGTTAATATCTCCCAAAGGATGCCTCCAGGCAACAACACCCAGGCTTTCACTGATTGACTGTGCAGCTGCAAGGCTACTCAATGCCAATCAAGCTTGGTAGTTGCAGCATTTACACTTGCTTCAAACAGACAAGGGTTCTTCCTTGGACAGTCCACAGGGTGGGAGGAATGCCTCACTGCCAACACAACCTCTGAAGACGCCAGGCACAGATGCAGATGAAACGTCAGGAGAGAATGTTACTGAAACATACCCATATAGCTCGAAAAACAGCAGTGACTGGAAGTTGAAGGGCCGAAGTTTGCCAATGCCTGATCTACACTGTGGAATGAATTTGGGAGCTATACTTCGGCGAGTGGCCGTTGACAGTACTGCTACGCCGCTTCCATTCCAAGTGTAGCTCAGGCATGGGCAAACTTCGGCCTGCCAGGTGTTTTGGACTTCAAGTCCCACTCAGTTTTCCGAGCTGTATGGGCATGTTCCAGTAGCATTCTCTCCTGACGTTTCGCCTGCATCTGTGCCTGGCATCCTCCTTGCCAAACTACAATGCCCACGGTCCCATATCCTTGAGCGGCTCAATCCCGCCGTGCAGATGCAGCCTGGGGCTCCCTCCCTCCCTGACCTGGTACTCGATCTCCAGCGAGGCCTCCTTCTGCATGGGCTGGAAGAAGCACTCCTTTCTGCCAGCGGGCAGCGTGAACGTGAAGTCGCTGTCGAAGGCGGTGGCGAAGCCGTAAGAGGCCGGGAGCACGAGCAGGAGCAGCCAGAAGGAAGCCCGCCTYACCTCCGCCTCCATCCTCGCCGCCTTTTCCAGAAAAGCCCCGAGAGAGAGAGAGACTCCTCGCTCCTTGTACTTTCCACACAACTCTTCGGAGCACGGGGCCCACAATGCACCGCGCCGGGAGGCTGGCTCTGAAGGACAAGCGAGCCCAGCTTTCCTTTTTTGTCTTTTGCAAAGCACTGTGGGAAATGCAGTCCTCTCATGCTGAAAATAGAGCGGCAAARAAGGAGGCGGGGCTAGGGAAAAAACTACGACTCCCATGTGGCCGGCGGAGGGGGAATGTAGTTGGCGATTCGCCGCCCCTTCACCGCCCTTTCCTATTGGCCCGCGCGGTTCGAACACAGGAGGGAGTGATAGGCAAGACGGGTCGCCCCGAGGCCCAYATTAGTGAAGACAAGGATTCSGGCTGTGTCCATGCAAGGTTAGTGGCTGCCTTGRTGGCTTCTTTGTCCGTGTCCCTGGACTTTGTTGTTGTTATTATTGTTGTTGTTGTTGTGTGCGTTCAAGGCATTGCCTGACTTAATGGCGACGCTGAGGTAAACCTGTAATTCGGTTTTCTTGGCCAGGTTTGTCAAGCGAGGAGTGAGTTGCCTTTGCCTGGCTCTGAGGGAAAGGGAGGGAGGGAGGGAGGGAGGGGGGAAAGAGTGATGTGGCGTTGCTAAGCAACGGGAGGCCCTCTGGCTGGAACCCGCGCGTCCAAGGCGGTTCTTTGGGCGCCTGAGAGGCAGCAAAGGCGAAAGGAAGGCAGGTTGACCCAGAGGTAGGTAGGCAGGCATGCAAGGCAGGCTACAGCTCCCAGGCTTCCCTGGCAATGAGACCATGGCAGCTGAAGCGGTGCATTATGAGCGCATTAGCACAAATCATTTTTATTTATTTATTTATTTTTACTTGAGAAACTGCAAGGCGCTTCTGGTGTGAGAGAATTGGCCATCTGCAATGACTTAGCCCAGGGTTTTTGATATTTTACCATCCTTGTGGAATGGTAAAATATTTTACCAAGCCTTGTGGGAGGCTTCTCTCACGTCCCTGCATGGGGAGCTGGAGCTGACAGAGGGAGCTCAACCCACTCTCCCCAGATTCGAACCTTCAAACTACAAGAAAGGAGATTCCATCTGAACATTAGGAAGAACTTCCTGACTGTGAGAGCCGTTCAGCAATGGAACTCTCTACCCCAGAGTGTGGTGGAGGCTCCTTCTTTGGAGGCTTTTAAACAGAGGCTGGATGGCCATCTGTCAGGGGTGCTTTGAATACGATTTTCCTGCTTCTTGGCAGGGGGTTGGACTAGATGGCCCACAAGGTCTCTTCCAACTCTATAATTCTATGGCCTGTTGGTCAGCAGTCCTGCCAGCAAAAGGGTTTAACTCACTGCAACACTGGGGGGCAGATGCTCTTATCTATGTAACGTTTCTGAGCTCTTTCCCATTCTCCCTCTTTGCTCCAGGCTGCCCAGGGTGGCCTGGGCAGCCTTTTCACACGGCTGCATTGGGCTTCCTGACAAGTGCCAGTTAATACCTCCCAGACAAAGGATGCCTCCAGGCAAAAACAGCCAGGTTTCCACTATGCAGCTACTTTCACTGATTGACTGGCTACTCAATGACAACCAAGCTTGCTATTTGCAGAATTCACACTTGCTTCAAACAGACAAGGGTTCTTTCTCCCACCTTGGACATTCCACAGTGTGGGAGAAGTGCCTCACTGGCCTCCGCCATCAACTCTGCTGGACTGGCCACATTGACCGGATGCCCAACCACCATCTTGAGAAACTGCAAGGCACTTCTGGTGTGAGAGAATTGGCCGTCTGCAAATACATTGCCCAGGATTTGTGATGTTTTACCATCCTTGTGGGAGGCTTCTCCCATGTTCCCGCATGGGAAGCTGGAGCTGACAGAGGGAGCTCATCCACGCTCTCCCCAGCTTCGAACCTCCCACCTGTCAGTCTTCAGTCCTGCTGGCACAAGGGTTTAACCAATTGCACCACCGGGAGTTCCAGCACAAATCAATCACATGTCCTTAATAAATGAACATTTGTAACAACTGTTTGAAATTACTTTGCAAACAGTAGTTATAAGTTTATATTGACCATTACTAATAACAAGAAAATGGCCAGGAGATTGGAATGGGGTCATAACGACAAGCAACTATTAAAACAATGCCTATATTTAAACAGGTCTGTTCTCCAAACAGTGAAAGTTGTTTTATTATTGCTTCCTTAGTTATATTTTATATTGGACAAATGTATAATACCAATGGAACCTAATGTACGGACGTCTCGTGATCATGGTGATAATGAAGAGTATTTACTTGCAAATGTTGTGGCATTAAGAAAACGACTAAGAAAAACGGAAAGAAATTTGCAAAACCTGGGAGAAGAACTTGACAGGTACTATGCATGCACTCATGTATGTCAACCTCATGTATATGTTGAGAGCAGGCTTTGGGGCCAAAATTGTGGATTTTCACATGATCTGTGGACAAGTTAGATATAGAACTTAGAGGCATGCTGTAACAGGGCTCTTGAACATTTTCTATCAGGGCATGGAAGGGGGGATTGGCATTTAAAACAAAGATCTGTTTGGAAGGTCTGCTTCCTCCATCCAAGCATTACTTCCTGTAACAGAAATGCACCCTTCCTGCTCCTTGACAGATTTAAAGAGCTCTGATGAAGCATGGAGAATGTATGCTTGTTTGTATGTGCCTTGACATTTATTTTGCAGGAGACCGTGTTTCCTGTAATAGAAACACACACATACTCCACACACTCCAGTTTTAAAGTGCCCCGTTGAAGCGGGGAAAGTGTGTACTTGTTTGTGTATTGTTGTATCTTTTGCAAGAGATTGTGCTGCCCTTAACAGAAACATCCCCACTTCCAAACACTGCTCAACAGTTTTAAAGAGTCTCTTTGAGGCAAGGAGAGTGCTTGCTTGCTTGTGTTCTGTGTATCTTTTGCAGGAAACTGTGCTGCTTTTAACATCCCTTCTACTCTCTTCACTTGTCAGCTGTGCTGAGGTATTTAGAGCAGTGAAGGGAATAATTGTTTGCTTTATGTCCAAGTTGGCATATTTCAGAGCAGTTTTACCATATAGATCTGTGTATAAGTTGATCTAGGTTTTTAAAGTCAACTTTTGGCATGCATAAATTTGACTTATACACAAGTATATATTGTATGTGTGTGTAGAATTAACAGTGTTTCTTTATTAACATGGTTGCTTTAAATTTTATCATTTGAGTAAAATTGTTGATATCTTATGTTGTCAGAAGAATTATTGCAAGGAAAGGGAAAATATTGATATTTTTGTTCTTTCATTCTAGTTCATATAATTTAGATGTCAGCACTCACGATGGAGAGCTTGAGATTTTAAAAATTGAAGATCTTGTTGATCCAAGTGAAATAAATATTTCTTCAACTGATAATACTGGGAATAAAGTGACTGGTCATAAGATGGATTCTTCATGGAAACTCAGGAACAAAGTAAGGAGTTGATGAGCACATATTATACTTCTTCTTGCATTTTATGTTAGACACTTATTGACTCAGATTTGATTACTGATCCTAAAAGTAAGAGGAGAGTTCACTTTAGTTTGTATTGTCACAACATACTGTATGTTGTTTTCTAGTATCATTCTGTATCTATTGACAAAAACATGGAAGAGGAAAATGAACTACTAAGGGAAAAGCTAACAGTAGTCCGTGAAAAGAATGCACTGTTGACTTCACAAAATTATGATTTAATGACGGAAAATGAAAATTTAAACTTTGAACTGAACCACTCAAGAGCACAAGTAGGTATCTTAATAACATGCATTAGTTTGAAGATATGCTGTGTTACTCATTTGATACTACACACTGCAATAAGTCTGTGTTTTGGAATAGGATTATAAAAATGTGCAGTTTTTTCTCTTTTTTTCAGTCTCATATGTGCACATATATCCACACCAAAGTTGTCTTGTACAGTGAGAGAGCACAATTTTGAAACTTGATGAATAATTATATAACACAGTCAATCCCCCATATTTTCAGATTTGATAATTTGTGGATTTGATTTTTAAAATGTTCTCTCTAGTAATTCTTAGGTCCTCCATGCAACTCTATGGTCAATTAACACTGGAGGAACTAGAGAAATATTCAGAACTGAATATATACCATTATGATCAGTTAAATATCAGTAATTTTAATTTTTAAGACTAGTTAAGAAACAAAAGTAGCATAACAAAGATTTTGAATTAGGAACTAACAAAGTAATTATCAACAACTGCATGTGAATCTTTATAGACATTCTTTTAAAATTCATTTTTAGGTATCTGTCCTTGAATCTGGTTTGGGTACACGCTCAGTGAGCATTCCAGTTTTAGAAGAACAGATAGCCAGTTTGGAAGCGGAGATGCAAGCCAAGGACAATATTCTGAAGTAGTGAATCCTTTGTTTGATTGTTTAATTTCTTTTAGACTTCCATTATTTGTGGAAATCTAAACTTGATCTCACATTCACACACAGTTCTTACTCTTGCCATGGAGAGAAAATATTTGGCATGTTATGAAGCAATATTTTTGAAAGCAATGCCCCAATGGGTCTGTGGAAATCCTCAACACTCTTAATCTAATTCACTTGTTACTGTGTATAATGATGATAGGGTAGTAACTGATACTAGAATCTGGCAAGTAGCAATAACTGGAGAGTCCTATAGTGTTTATGCTAGCGATTTTCTTATATGGAGATTATGAGCAATTAGGGACATTGAAATACACATTGCCTTCCTTCAATTTAACCCCCCCCCCCTCTCTCTCTATATATATATACTCATTTATAAGCCAAGGGGTGGACTCTTAAGCTCTCACCTTTTGGATTAGAAGTTTGTTGGGAACTGAAACTGGGATATGAATTAACATCTTGTCAGTAATAACATGCCCTTGCCTGAAAAATAATAAACTAAATTTTTGCTATATATTTTTTTACCAAAGCAACAATGGCACAAAATATTTAATTATTCTTCTAAACAACTTGTTTCAAAAACCCAGACCATAAATTGTAGATTGCCATTGCCTAGTTCAAAGGGCCAGACTACACATTAGTACTACTCTATTTTTACTGTGAAAGGACATCATTGGGCACCTATAGTTTTTCTACCTTTTCTTTCAGTTTGAGTATACAGGTCTATACTGAACACAAGAAAAAGTAGTTTTTACTGTTTCATGTTCTTAATGAGATATATTTGCAATGAAGTTTTTGTATAGTTATGAATTCTTTTTCTGATTTGTTGTTAGAGATGCAGAAGATAAATTACAACAAAGCAGGAAAATAATAATGGAAAAAGATTGTGCTTTGCAGAAACTAAAAGAGGAATATACAGAAATGAAACTAGATTTTATTGAAAGAAACAGACAAGGAAAAAGGTGACAGTTCATATGACAAAACTGGCTTTGTTAATGCTTGACAATATATCTGTTTCAAGGTACATTTTAAAAAAAAAACAAACACCATCATTCTTTCAGAAGCAATCCAGACTTCTAAAAATCAAAATGAAAAGCTTGATAAATGTGTCCTAAAATAAATTTTAAAATGGGTACTCATTCAACATGATTTGGTGAGGTAGAGTCACACAATCCGTTATTTTACTACTCCCTACTATGAGGAAATGGGGGGAATGTGGTAGTTCAAGCCTAAATCAAATCTATTTCCTGTTGCACTAGGGCCCTGAAGCCTCTTTTCACCACAAACCGCACACTGTCTAGGTGATCCAATAAGTAAAGTTTATTAAAAGCTGAGTATATAAAAAGCAAGCAAATTCAAAAGAGAGAAGCTAAGTCCAAAAGACTTGTTTCCATGAAAGCCGAGAGTTCAAAAATTTATTCAAAGAAAGTCTACAAAGTAAATTCATAGAGATATCCAAAGACAAGATAACATGAATGCAAGGCAGGCAAACTATGCCACACATGAACTGGAAGCAAGAAGAGCTCAAAACTTAAGTACATGAATTCAAAGAACACAGGCCCAAAAACCATGAGTTCTTTACCTGAATGCAATGATGCTCTCACAAATATTGTACCACTAGGAACCACTTTAAAAAGCCTGTAACATCATTTATCTCGCACCTGCTTTTCCGCTTTTTATCTCTAATTCTCTGGGAAAAGCGAGTCTGTCTTTGTTGCATGCCCTGTCTCTGCAACTCCAATTGCCTTGACGTAGACAAACATTTGTCTCCCACATTTCTCTCAGGTTCCCATGGGAACAGAGCTGACTTCCTCCAGTCTCTTGGGAACTTCAAGGAGGAGAATCCAAAACAACTCTCTCTGGGCCACTTCCATTCTCCTCTGGGCCCGCTGAATCTCTCCCAGCATTCCCTTCTTCCTCGTCTAAACACTCAGAATCTGACAATGTTACAACTTTTCTAATCTTTCTAGTCACATGGGATTTCTTCAGTTGTGCAAAAACTCATTAAACTGGCACTTAGTATTCGAGGGGAAATAACAACTTCTGATATTTCAGATGTATCTCCATTTCAGCTTTATCCATAAAAGTTGAATCATTAATTGCTTTCAAAATAGACAAATAAAATGCAATTGGTTATTCATGGTATTGTGTTTTAGTCAACAGACACATTTGTGATCTATGCACTTGGGCAAGAGGATGCTGTTGTGCTTCAAGCTTTATTCATTATATTTTGCTATGTAGGAATTGTTCATCCTAGGCTAATTTTCACTTCTCACAGAAAAGTATTCTATCAATTCAAATGTTTATATTTGGAAATGTCATAAGAATTTTAATTGATATATATTTGAAGAAAATGAAATGCTGCGAAAAGCAAATCTCTTGTGACCATCCTGCTCTATTTATTCAATATTTTGCTTTGTGTGAATAATGACATGGTTGCTTTACTTGGCTAATTTAAAATTGAGTTACTTCTTTCACTTAAAGAACTGAGCAGCAACGAAATGAAGCTCTGTATAATGCTGAGGCGCTCACAAGAACTTTTAAAATATACAAAGAAAAGATAACTGGTCAGCTGGAAAAGGTGAGTTATGATTTCAGAAAGATGCTCATATCAATAGAATGTTTGAAGAAATCAGTCTGTGCAGTTCTGTTTTGCTGCTGAAAGTGAGATAGCTAGAAGAGGATGTTCACTAGTAAAGGATGGGCAAAATACAGTCACTTGGATTTTTTAGGATTTAAACTCTTGCCATTCTGAACACCTGGATATACTAAAGAGAGAGTGCACTTTGCCCGTTTCATACCATGGGGAACAAAAGCTGCTTATGTTAACAGCCAGTATCATTGTTAATGATATATTAGTATCTTCGTACAGGGGTAATAGCAAAAACAATTTCTTCATTGTATCAGAATAGAAGAGTTCACCCCACTATAAACGTATTTGAAAGTATCATACATAAGATTGCATAGTTTGTTATTTAGAACTAAATGCTATACAACAGTATGCTAACATATCTGAGGATACATCTATGCTCCAGAATTAATGTAGCTTGACTCATTTTACCTGTCATGGCTCAATGCTGTGGAATCCTGAGAATTGTAGTTGTACAAGTCCTTTAGCCTCTTCTGCAAAAAAAGAGTGTTGATGCCTTACAAAACTACAACCCCCAGCATTCCATAGCTCTGAGACATGGCAGTTTAAGTGTTGTCAAACTGCATTAATTCTACAGTGGGATACACCTTGAGAAGAAGGACCTTCTTCCCCAGGCTCTGGAAGTCCCTTCCTAAGAGGTTAAGACTAGCACCTACCCTGCTCTACTTTTGTAAACATTTGAAGTGGTGGGTTTTTAAATATCTATATATATTTCAACTGGTCTTTTGGATGTGTTTAATTAGATTGGGCAGGCTTCATGCATTGTGCTGGACTTTCTATTTGTTTTTGTTGTGCTGTTGCACTTTTATCACAGGTACTTTTAATCTATGTTTATTTTTTTACAATTTAATCCATTTCTAAATTTTGTAGTTTGCAAATTTTAAACTGTTAATACGTCATGCTGCATCCCAAATTGAGAAAAAACCAGGATATAAATATAGTAGGATATACTAATAATAATAAGGAGCCCCTGGTGGCGCAGTGGGTTAAACCACTGAGCTGCTAAACTTGTTGACTGAAAGGTCACAGGTTCAAATCCGGGGAGCGGCATGAGCTTCCACTGTCAGCCCCAGCTTCTGTCAACCTAGCAGTTCGTAAACATGCAAATGTGAGTAGATCAATATGTACCGCTCCGGCGGGAAGGTAATGGCGCTCCTTGCAGTCATGCCGACCACATGACCTTGGAGATGTCTACAGACGACACTGGCTCTTCAGCTTAGAAATTGAGAAGAGCACCAACCCCCAGAGTCGGACACGACTGGACTTAATGTCAGGGGAAAACCTTTTCCTTAATAATAATAATACAGGAATATTAATTTGACATTTAAAAATATAAGTGGTTGAATTGGCACTTCAAAAAGATTCTATTTTGGTTTTCTTTCAATTTAAACACATAAGTAACAAAATACTTGCTAATAAATATAAACTAGACTTTAAAAGTATCTCACAAAAAAAAGTAAAAGGGAGACCAAATGTCATTTAAAGTTGGATAGTTTCCACTGATGTAGGCTGACAGGCTCCTTTTTTCCTTAGCAGATTTTGGGGCTCTTACTTAAGCTTCAGGAATACATTGAGGTTTAAGAGATAATAAAGAAGGCTCAGATCTGTTCCTCGAACTTATTCAAGGACAGACCAGTAATCATATTCTCTGTTTTGTGTTCAGAGAACAGCAGATCCTGAGCCCTTTTTAGCTTCCTGCAGGTTGGTCTAATTTAGATATGCTGCTTATTTTTAATGCTATCCTAAAGGATGCTGTGAGTCCTAAATTATACTGTGAAAAGGTGGGCATTGATTTCTGCATCCTGATATGAGCATGTGCCCCCACAAGACATCATCCTTTGAATTTTGTGTGCTGAAGTACCAGTTTTAGTTATAGGAAGGACAAGTAAAGGAATAGGTGTATTGGGAATATTGGGGACTAAACACATGGGCCCGCTGCCATAGTAGTGGAGACCTTTCTGTCACCAGGGTATTGGCTTGCTCAAACCAAAACTAAATCTATTTGTCTAGTTAACAGCAAGTAAAATTATTGTTGGATCTTTTAAACTCAGGTTCAACTGGAAGAACAAATTTTAGAAAGAAATTTAATGAACTGTGTTAAAGAAAAGGAAAAGCTACAAGCAAAATGTGATAGCTATAAAAGTGAGCTTGAAAACCTGAAAGAACGAGTGAGGTATTTGTATATTTGCTTTCCCCAATGGAAAAGATGACTATGACTATCATTTTACACGTTCATTTCTTGCTTGAACAGTATGGCCCTCTGATATTAGGTTCATGGTTAATTAACATGACTGCACAGCCAGCTCAATTTATGTTACAGCTCACTAAGCCACAACATTGCAATGTGATTGATTTTAGATATAAAACATTTCCTTGCCTCTTCACAAATTAGAGGGAGTCCGTTTTACTGTGGGATGGCAATACAAACTGGCTGGGTTGTCTAGTAGTCAGATGTGATTTCTGGCTGAATGGGTTCCCACAATTTTCTTCTTTTACTAGTCCACCCTCAAGTCGCTTCTGACATGATAAATAAAAATAAACAATTTTGATATCCATTTGAATCTTTTTTACTTGTCTTCTGACAAAAAAATATATCTAGATTTGGAAGTTTTAATAACAGATTAAGTGATTTTGCTTGCTTCATAAAGTACTGAAGCATACAAATATAGCCTGTTTCCCTAAACAACAAAAAAACTTGTGAGAAGACATAAATACATTGTGCCATGGGTTTCAGTGTTTGAAATAGGATTCTATGTTTTCTAGTATTTTTCTTCTTTAAAATGCCCGATGGAAGTAATGCCATCTGGTATTAGGAGGTTTCAGTAGATCCGTGTTTAGTGAGGACATCGTGAAAAGCCATATGGCTTCTCCCAGATTGTGTCCAGTTGGTCCCTCTCTGCTATGTTTTTGTGAGTGTCAAGTAATGACTTTTTTTTTATTTAGTAAGGCATTTGTTTTTAATAGGTTGTGCTGATAGAGCTTTTAATAGGGCATTGTATTTCTATAGTATTATATTTTAAATGTGTTTTAACTTTGTATGAATAATTCTTATAGTTCTATGGTACCATATTTTTTAAATGGCTGTATGCAGCTTTGAGTCCCATGCTGGGAGAAAGGTGGGATCCAAATTGAATAAATACATTGATTTTCTTTTCTTTAAAAAAAACCTTCACTCTAGATTTCTGTTTTTACCTTTTTATTTCTTGGTGGAAAGCAACTTAGGATTCATAGAATCATAGAAGCAGGAATATTGCATTCAAAGCACCCCTGAGAGATGGCCATCCAGCCTCTGTTTAAAAGCTTCCAAAAAAGGAGCCTCCACCACACTCCAGGGCAGAGAGTTCCACTGCTGAACGGCTCTCACAGGAAGTTCTTCCTCATGTTCAGATGAAATCTCCTTTCTTGTAGTTTGAAGCCATTGTTCCGCGTCCTAGTCTCCAGGGAAGCAGAAAACAAGCTTGCTCCCTCCTCCCTGTGATTTCCTCATAAGCAGACCCTGGCTTCAACTTGTTCCCTGGTTTTGCCTAAAAATGTTTGCTGTCACAGAAAAGAAGGGGAGGCATTATGAATTAAATCATTCATACTTTTTAGATATTGTTGCTGAAGCTTTCTCTTTTTGTTTTGCATTTGTTTAGACAATTAATTGAAGAGAATTGTAATAGAAAGGAACGCCTAATGTGTTTTGAAGCAAAAAGTTCTGAAATGGAATTGCTTCTGAATCATTCCCAGCAGAAGATCCAGATGCTTGAAAGTAGACTTCAGGACCAAGACAGAATACTTGAAGAGAAAAGTGCCCTTCTTAATGAAAATGCTGGCTTAAAAGCACTTGTTGCAGAGCAACAGGATCGCCTTAAGTCATATAATCAAGACATTGAGAATTCAAAAATAGAACTTAAAACCTTAGAAAATGTTATTTCCCAATTGTCTCAGAACTCACCGAAAGAGGTACCGTAATTTTGTTTAAATTGTTGCAATGGCATTAGATTCGATGCACAGTGGAAACTGTGCAAATCCTCCACTGATAAAGGGAGAGTGCTTTCTTTTCATACACAACGGAAAGTCCAATGATTTAAAATAGCAGCCCACAATGTAGCATGCATTACCACTTTGATCAGGCCTTCAAGCTTAAAAGGCTATTGGTAGCTAGCACAGTTGCACTGATTTGAAGGGAGGGCGCTTTAAATAGTTCTGTGCAGAAGAGCAGAACAGCGAAGACTCGGATTTGCACCATCTGAGTCTTGGCTGTTGAACCTTTGCTGCTGAGTAATTGGAGTACTCTTGAAACTACACTGCAGTTCTAGGAGCATACTGTCTGTTTCATTGCAGCTTGTACTAAAAGAGTGCAAAGCTCATTCTTTGGATGGTGCAGAGGAGCAATCTATAATCATGCACATATACACTGGCCAACACACATTTTGGAGCCTCAAATGCTACCCCTGTTTCTGGGTTTATTTGACCTGCTGATTCTAAAAATGGCACCAGGTTTCCTCTATCAGCTCCAGTTTTTGATATACAAAACATATGCCATATTCTAGTTGTTATCTTCTCACCCATACAAAATTGTGATAACTAGAGCTGATGTGCTCAATGCAATGCAATTTTCAGAATTAGTGCTGCAAATAACCCCTGGAACAGGCCTTAAAAACCATCACACCAATATTTTTTTTGTTTGGCTGTAATTCATGGTGGGTACCATCCCATCATTTTAAGCATTGCAGCATTTCTATATAAAAAGTGCTTTCAACTGCCACTGTCTTTCTACCCAGTTAAATATTCTAAGAAACTAACCACTTGCTGTTCAAGCTTCCAACAAGCATCTACAGATACCAGTAATAAGGGTTACTGCTGATATTTTAGGCAACATATTCAGGAAAAACTGTGGACCATGCAGCAAAATGCAACAAAATACAGGTAAAGAAAAGGAGGTAATAGGCTTACGGTACGTCTTGTCTCAGGTGATACTTCTGTTGTCAGCTAAGATGATCTGGAGAGGTCTCAGTGGAGGCCAATGCCCTTCTTGACCCCATGGGGACCAAGAGACAAAAGGCAATAAAAGACAGGTAATTAAAGGTTAACTCCATTCGCAACAGAAACGTAATTTCTCTTGAGATCCAGGCTGCCCTGTCTTACAGTTGGAAAGCTTTACCTATAAAGCATCTAAAAGCTTTTCCAGATGTAGTGGTATGCTTTTATTATTTGCTAGCTTGGGTATCTGATGATGTCTGGGTTATTTGAAAAAGGCGTTGTTTGTTTTGGGGTGTTAGGTAATACCAGTTTAGTAATTTGTAATGCTATTTCTTAGGGGGAAAAGCCAGTCTTTCTTGTTTTATATGAATGCTCCCATTAGAAAATGCAGAAGGATGTGAGTAAAATACAACTCCCAGATCCAAGGTCATTCACCCTCAAACCCTGACTGTGTGCACAGTTGGCCATGTTGGGTTTGTGTGCCAAGTTTGGTCCAGATCTGACATCGGCTGGGTTCAGTGCTTTCTAGATATGGGTGAATTACTACTCTTAAAATAAAGATCCATTTCTATAAACCCATGAAGCATGTTCAGTTGGTCATGGGGCTTCTCTGTCCCAAGTTTGGTCCCAGTCCATTGTTGGTGGGGGTCACTGTTTCTCTAGATGCAGGTGAACTATAATTCCCATCAAAGTCAATTTCCCCAAACGTCTCCAATATGTTCTGTTGGTCATTGGGGGGGGGGGGGTCTGTGTGCCAAGTTTGGTCTAGATCCATCATTTGTGGGGGTCACAGTGGTCTCAGGATGTGAGTGAAAGTACTGCAAATCCCATCATCCCTAGCAGGTATGGTCCAGATCCATCTTTGGCTGGGTTCGCAGTGCTCTCTGGATGATAAGGAGAAACACAACTCCTAAAAATCATGGTGAATTCTTCCCTAACCTCTTGTTCAGTTGCTGGTCAATTCCTGTTTGCTGTGTGCCATAGGAAAGGGTAGGAAAGGGTTAAGCGAGAGGCAGCAGGTGGGGTCATGCAAATTCCACCTCAACTGATAGACTAAGGAACCCTGGGATGTCCATTCTGGAGGAAAAACGAAACATCTAGGATGAAATTGTCCCTGAATGAAAGCCTTCTCTTGGGTGGTGGGCAGTCTGGTGTTTGGAGAGGACATTGGCTGGGGTTGGGCTGCAATGTCCTTGGAGGAAATGCTTTTGTTCGCTCTTCAGCACTCTGGGTTATATAGCTGTTTGTGGAGGCGGGAGGCTGTGTAAGTGGACACCTCCACCACATACACACTTTCACTTTTATTAAGTGTATAGGTATGAGTTTCATAATAACTTTGGTTAGTGTTATTTGTACTTTTTTATCTTGAATGTTCTGTTCTGTACATTTTAGGCTCTTTGTCCTAGCTTTTGGCTAGCATAATAAACAGATTGACTGATGTACAAGTAAGGAGAAGTTAAGTTTTTTCTGCCTAAGAAAGGGTCAGCTAGCTTTGCACAGGGCATGGATAGCTTGTACCTTAAGGGCAGTTACCTTTTTTTTTTTTTTGCAAATGGAGTTGAAATATTACCACCTGCCTTTCTTCCACCCAGCCAAAAGAGAGTGGCCGCAGTATTTATTTATTTATTTACGACATTTATATGCGGCCCTTCTCACCCCGAAGAGGACTCAGAGCGGCTTACAAGTAATATGTAAATACAATATATTATATTACTACCATATACTGTAACATTAAGATTCTCCAAAACTATCTTAATTGACAATAGAAGTAACATTTGTGACAAAAATCTGCCATACGTCTATGACTAACATTCTTCTCCTGTATGATTTTTAACATCTTTGCCTGGTGAACACACCAGTGGAGCTTTGAAAGCTTGCATGCTCTATTTTGTGCATTTTGATTGGCCAATAAAGGTATCCATGTTTTGTGAATTCGGGATTTGCTTGTATTTTGTTATTTTGTATGCCCCTGTGGAAGGCTTCCTTCTGCTAAAAGGTTTACTTCACAATAAAGTATTATCTGGTTTCTGCTTCTTTGTTAGGCTCTATGTGCTCTCCTTTATTTTAGTTGGGGTTCTGTACTTTCCATAGAGCAGTGTAGCCTTGGGAAATTGTCAGGTTTATCTGAACATGACATCACACCAATGTTGAGAATAATGTGCCTAAATACATTTTGGGTTAAATCAAACATTGTACTCATAACTCTTCTATTTCTCCAGCATTCTCTGCTGCTCAGAAACTAACACTATTCCAGGGACATATTATGGGCTACAATAGGATTCCACCACTGTACTTGTGGAAGTCTAACATTAGATCATAGCTATTACATTTGTGTCTTTTCCCATTTAATTTGTAGGTCTCTCATTCCACAAGTAATTCTAGTGAACCATCTTATGCAAACTGCTGTGAATCAAATAGATTCCTCATAGAAGATCTAAGGTATTACATTTATTTTAAAGTGATTTTAGCTTAGGTAAATATATTTTGAATGACAAAGAGAACACACACCTCTTTATTTTTATTTATTTATTTATTTTTGATAGATTAAAACTGAAAATGAAAGAAGCAGAGATTCAGAAACTTCAAGGAGAAGCTATGGCCACAAAGCTTCAACAAGAGATCTCTCAAAGAAATGATGGACAAAGCTTACATGGTCTTGAAACTGAACCAGTAAAACTAGGTGGAAACCAATCCGGTATGCAGGATGAGGATGGGTTACAGGCAGCATGCTGCTTCTGTAGAACAATCAACCTGAAATTACATGGATTTTGCACTATCTTGTAAAGCTGTACCCTACTGGCAACCATTCATAATTTAAGAGACAATCAATATGGTCCTTATCAATTCCTGGGCTTTGTAGGAAAAGATGGTCATTTACCTATTGCTAGCAATGGCAGACTGTTTTAATTGCTTCGTAGGTTCTAAAGTTACAGCCTTTCCCGCACCCCAACAGGCAGTTTTACTGCAAATGCTACTTGTTGAATGTGCTGAAATTTCTGTGTAAAATATTTTTGCCAAGGCGAAACGTCAGGAGATAATGCCTCTAGACCATGGCCATATAGCCCGAAAAAACCTACAACAACCCATTTTTGCCAAGCTCACATTTTTGCCAAATTACAGCTCTCAGTGTATCTACTAAATTCCTTTAAATGAAAGTAAGTCTTAAAGTGGAAATGATATGTGACTTTCATAATTTCTAAACTGCTGCAATGTGGTATAATCCAACCTTGCTCTTTCCATTGCGCAGAGAGTAAATATCAACAACTGGAGCTTCTCAGAAAACAATTTGAAAAAGAGAAGCACAAATTAAATCGACAGTTAGAAGAACTACGGAATAAGCTGGAAAAATCTGAAGAGGAGAATTCTGTTTTAAAAGGCAGCATGGCCCAACGAACTAGTCAGTTTCAAGCAATACAGGAAGAGCTGTTGGAGAAAGCTGCAAAATCTACTAGCTTGGAAAAAGAAGTAAGTGGAAACAGAAAGGAGATATTTCTCTCAGGGATCAATTCTAGTAATTACATAAAGATACATATTTGCTCTTTGGAGATTGCAAGTGTTTTTCCTTTTAGAATTGGAAGCCAACTAATCAGAAGTAATAGATGGTAACAATTCGTTATTGTGATGGACACAATTAGGCAGGGTATGGGCTCCTTCTACACTGCTATATAAAACCCAGATTATTTGCTTTGAACTGGATTATATGGCAGTGTACACTCATAACCCAGCTCAAAACAGATAATGTGGATTACCTGCTATGACAGTGTAGGAGGGGCCATAGTAGACTAAGCTCTGGAAAAACAACCTAATGGGCTTTGTAGTCAATCCTGAAGGTTACCTGCTGTAAAATGTTAACATATTTGGTTATTCATGTAGATATATTCTTTTATTTATAGTCCCCATGGAATTGTTTAGCTTAAACTGGTTTCATACCCATCTATAACTTACTTGGGCCCCTTTTACAGTCATATAATCCAGATTATCAAAGCAGATAGTCCACATTATCTTCTTTGGATTATATGAGTCTACATTGCCATATAGTCCAGTTCAAAACAGATAATCTGGTTTTTGTATGGCAGAGTAGAAGGAGCCTTGGGACCCTTCCAGACAGGCCCTATATCCCAGAATCCGATCCCTGGTTTTCTGTTTATCCCAGATTATCTGACTGTGCAGACTCATCCAGTTTAAAGCAGAAAACCCGGGATTAGTCCTGGGATATAGAGCCTGTCTGGAAGGGCCCCCGGAGGCTTTTCAAATATCAGAGTATCCAAATGTGTTTGTGCCTCTTGTAGCCAATCCTGATCTATTACAGTATCAAAGAGTCCTGTCCCTTGTGTAAAACATTGTATTATCTTACTTTCAGACATAACAGCTCTTTGCTGGTTATTTTAATAGAAAACAAGTGTGAAACATCAATTGGTGGGGAAGGCCGGTAGTTGTGAATTTAATTATACTGTGAGTAAGAAAAACTGTAGCAAAAATTACATTGCATTACAACAGTGAGGACTAGCTGTCTTATTTAAACACCTTTATGTGAGAAGGGGAAGAAGGGACAGTAGGATTCATACTTTCTATTTCAGTCCTGTATATTTGACACATGTATATGTTCTATACAGTTAGCAAGGAAGTCTTCTCAACTTTCTACCCTTGAAAAACAGTTGGAAGAAAAAAGAGTAGCCTATACAACCGCAGCTGCACAAAATACCGAGCTGGAACAGGAATTAGTGGTAAAACTCTTATAATCTAATCACACAATTTTTGGGAAGAGGGAGATGTTGTCACATATTTGATATTACATGAAATACAAACACTGGGGTGTCTAAACAAGCTTGTAATGTAATTTCTAAAATGTAAATTGTTTTTAATGGAATTTGTATAATACCAAGTAATATAAATATTATTTGAGTGTCTTTCTAGCTGTAACTTGGTTTATAGAAGGAGATAATAATAGATTTTTTATTCCCAGTCATCAGTATATAGACACCAAGATTTTGGTTGTTTTCTAGGAAGTTAATTCTAAGCTTCATAACTTGGAAAGAAACATCAATGAGGAACATGGACATTTCTCTCAGATGCTAGAGAAAACAAAGATAATCCATCTTGAGAAACACAATGAAATGGAAAACCAGATTGAATTAGTAAGTGTTTAGCTTTTATAACATTTTCTTATTATCACTTCAGCTCCTAAAGAAATGATTTTTAAAAATAGTAATTATAGGAGATGCAGTGTTTTTTCCATCTTCCTTTTGTATTTAATGTGTATATGCAGGCATCCACATATGTGGACTCTCATGAAATACTGATGCTTCTTCCAAATCGTTCTATGAGAGGCCCCTTCCACACAGTTGAATAAAACCCCACATTTTCTGCTTTAAACTGGAATATATGGCAGTGTGGACTCAAATAACCTAGTTCAAAGCAGATATTGTGAGATTTCGTGCCTTGATATTCTCGGTTATATGGCTGTGTGGAAGGGTCCAGAGTCAGAGGACCACACTGTGTTGTATATGTCAAGAAATGAATATGTTTGCATTCAGATGGATAGAATAATGTAGGGAGATGCTTCCCACTGAAAACTTATCACATGGAGCAGCAATTGTGTTAGATTTTGCGTATTGAGTGAATCTTATGGCATTTACTTATGGCATTTAAAAGATGTTGGCTATTGGAAAATGATTTAATATAGAAGAGTGGACAGTCCATATTTGTGGGCAGAGAACCCCCATAAATATTTCTGGAGTTGGAGCAACAATGGAAAAAATGTCAGAAAGGGGACAAAATGTGCAATGCAAAGAGACGGAAATGCTTTCATCACAGAGTTAGTAGAGAATACATGTGATCTTTCTTCCATTTTCAAAAAGACCCAAACTGTGTTCGAAGGAGGACATTGGCTCTGTGTTCCTAAATTCAGCATATCACATTGGCAACACAGAACCTATGGCTGTTAAACTCCCTTTACACTTTATTAAAAAAAAATAGCCAATGTAAAAAAATACCCAGCAGTTAATAGATGCTATGTAGATAGATGCATAACTGGTGATGAATAGCTGCTAAAATTATTTGTCAGTTTTGAAAAAAAAAAACTTGAGAGGTGCTGCACAGGGGATTTTTTTTTTCAATGCAGCTTCGTTCTCAGCTAGAAAGTAAAAAGGAGCAGTTCCTGGAGCAAGAGAACACATTGTCTATTTTGCAGCAAGATATTATATCTAAGCAACGGCAGATTGGATCGCTGGATCACCTATTAACAGAAAGCAAAGAGGTAGCATTTTAATCTATCACACTATGTGAATATACGTTTTTTTTCTTCCTATTATAATTGTTTTTAGAATTGTGTTTAGTTATTTTGACATTCTGCTACTTACAAGCTTTCAGCAGCCTTTCAAAATGTACTTGGCATAAAGAAAGAGTGGTTGATGAATCTGTCTCCAGTCATTTTGTAGTAACACGGGTTTTGTCTTGAAAAGCCCTGAAGCTGAACTTCAGGTGCATATTCTTCAATAATTCCCAGATAGCTGGATATAGGGGTGGTGATGACGACTTGTACTTAGAATCTTAGAAGAGCCAGTGCTGGTTAGACCTTCCACAGCAATTATATAACTAGCATTCATATACCTGTTTTTGAAAGTTGGAAATAGATATCCCAGCACCTTTGGGGCTTTTTGTTTTCTGCTCTTTCCCCACTATTTTGGGGCAGTCTGTGCAGTGCAGATCATAGAAAACTGGGATATAGGCTTACTGAACCACACACCACTGCATAGGGAATGAGAGGCCAGTAAGGCTCTAAAGGCAGGGAATTTGAAAACGAACACTGGGAGAAGCAAAGATATAAGGAAGAGGGACCAGGCTTGTTTTCTGCTGCCCTGGAGACTAGGATCAGAATAATGGGTTCAAATTACAGGAAAGGAGATCCCGTCTAAACATTAGAAAGAACTTCATGACTGTAAGAGCTGGTCAACATTGGAACTCTCTGTCTTGAAGTATGGTAGAGGCTCCTTCCTTGGAGGCCTTTGAACAAAGGCTGGATGCCATCTGTCGGGGGTGCTTTGTGCCTTCCCTACAATTCAGGGAGTTGGACTACATATTCCATGTGGTCTCTTCCAACTCTGTAATTCTATGATCTGCAGATTTGTCTTCTCCTAAACAATAGATGAGCAGGAAGGTGTTGAAGATGGCTGAACTGATCTTCATGGATGAATTAATTGCTTGAAACACATGCTTTAAAAGAAAAGTTATAACTTTATATATTTTCTGCTATTGATTCTGGATTCAAATAGGAATTGGAGCAACAAAAAGCCAGGAAGGATGAAGCTTTAAGGACGTTGCAAGGGCAGCTTGCTGAGGAAACAATCAAGGTACAATAATAAGTCCAGTATTAGAAGAGGAGAATATTTTAATGGGTTTTTATTTTTATAACATGGCTGCTGAGCATCCACTTTATGGACAAACAGTAATACAAGACAAATCAGTGTGCTGAAAAGTTTGCAGTCCAAAAAGGAGAAGGCAAAGAGAACATGTGAGTGAGGATGAAATAATTAAACAGGCTTAGGAAAGTTTCATTTTAAGGTTGGATTTGAAGAAAAAAAGGTAATGCATCTCATAGATGATGAGTGGAGAAAGAATGACACCCTGAAAAGTTATTTCTGTTTAAAATGGAAATGCATCTTCTGTTGATTTGCTTACACCATTTCTGAACACTCTTACAAAGGGTCTTATCTCTCCTAGGCTAAAACAAATTGGTTTACTATATCTCAGAGCAGATGATGATAATTTTATTTATTACCCGCCTCTCCTTTCGGATTGAGGTGGGGCACAAAAAAGGAGTTAAATACATCTCTAAAATCATGTATTAAAACCTAGTTATGATGCAACTGTAAAGCATATATTAAAACATACACATATTAAAATACCTGAGTCAAAAGTTAAAACACCATAAACCCATGATGGTGAACCTATGACATGCGTGTCAGCACTGACACGCATGGCTATTTTTCATGACACACAGACACATGCGGCCACATACAGAGAAATACACCTTATAAGAGCCAATCTAATTCCATCCTTAAATGTGTAAAAGGCTCTACAAATTTAACATCTGCACGTTTGAGCATTGCTCACTCCATAACTCAGCATGGATTATATTACTTAAACTATAAATATTGCAAAATTATGGGTTTTTTTCTCAAAGTGACACTCCACCCAAGTTATGCTCAGGTTTTTGGCAAATTTTGACACACCAAGCTCTAAAGGTTGCCCATCACTGCCATAAACGGAAGGTAACTTAAAAATCATAGTTCAAACTGACTAGGTAGACCTGCTGAAAGAGATAGGTCTTTACTTGTATCTGAAATTCTGACACCTAATTTTGTTGTCGGATCTCTTTTAGCTGGCATTCCACCGACTTGGGGCGGCCAATGAAAAGGTCATCTGGGTGACAGTTGCCAGTTAGGTTCAGGCTGGTTGAAGCAAGCATCCTCCAGAGGATCTCAATGGAGGAGGAAAGACAAACACGTTTCCAGCAAAAATGGAAACAGTTCAGGGAGAGCAGGGATTGAAAGGAGTTGGTCTTACAAATGAACTGATGTAGCAGCCTTGCTTTCCATCTCAGACTGATCCATTTGATGCTGTTTGCCTATAATAGAGAAGGGGGCAAAGGGGATCAGGTCCTCAACAGAACTTGTAGGATAGTTAGACTTCTTCTGCCTTGTGCCAGGGACGTTTTGAGTCCTTGAAGTAAGCCTACTCTTGCTGAAATTCTTTCTTCCATCATCTGTTATGTTACAGGTGAACTACTACTGAGTGATTGACTCTCTTTAGTACAGGCAGTCCCCAATAGGTTATGTAGGTTTGTTCTTAAATTGAATTTATATTTAAGTCAAGCAAGTAACCTTTTAAGTGTAACTCCAACCACATATAGAGAGGGATGGGCTTTGAATAGCATAGGGAAGTGTTAACAACCCTGTGGTATTCATTTTGCTGTCTGTGCCCTTATTTAGAATATTTCCCCACACTTTCTGTCCTTGTGATCATTGGATTTTGAAAAAATTGGCTTACTGTGGAAATAAGGATTGCGAGAAAGCTTCAGTGGGGACACCTTTCCCCCAGAAGTGGACTTCCCTTCCTAGTGGTAGATTTCTTTCACTTCCTGTCATTTTACCTCTGTTCTTAACGTTGAGTTGTTTGTAAGTTGGATATTTGTAACTCGGGGACTGCCTGTGTGTGTGTGTGTATATATATATGTGTGTGTGTGTGTATCTTTATTTCCACAGTAAGACTTTTTTTTTTCAAAATTCAGTAGTGTGTGTCTGGAGGAAACGCATTCAGTCAAACAAACTTTTGGATGCAAGCCACTTATTTGTTTAGAATAGCAAATGGACTTCAGCTAGGATGTAAAGCTGTGTTTATTTTTATAGTCATAACAGAGGGAGGAATTCACAGCCTCTCTTGTGCAGTGATTCCCCAACTCCTGAGTCCCATGTTTCTCCTGCAGAACACAAAACATGGCTATATAGTAGACAGGAGCAGCCAAAAAGCATTCAGACAGGTTCCTATGGCCCAATGCACAACAACAATGTTATCCTTCCCAATGAAACTGCATCTCCAGGATGTCTTGGAGGATGCTTTTTTCATATTACATTTGGTTATAGTTGGACACCCCTCAGCTGTTCAGTGAATCCTGCAGGAGAGAGATGGGGAGATTGAAAAGAGTTATGTTTTGGCAGAGCTTTATGATATTTTTCTATGCAAGATCTCAGCCTATGTTATTCTTTAACAAGTATTATTGCATTCATTTTTTACATATGAATAGTAATCTATATTCATAACGCAGATTAACATGTTTGATATTTGTTTTTAGTATTCAAAATGTGTAGGTGTTTGAGAGCAATTTGTGTTTGCTCAGTGTTTATATTATGTCTTCTATGTAACCAGGTAAAACAACTACAGACAGCATTAGATATCTGTAAGGGAGATCTAGCATTATACTTAAACCATCTAGAGGAAAATAAAGTGTTATTTGAAAAGCAGTTGAAGAAAAAGTCTGAAGAGGTAAACTTTCTATTTCTGCTTTTAGTTTTTGAGGGTTTTTTAAAAAAATTGTGTCAGTGACTTGAGAAACTGCAAGTTACTTCTGGTGTGGAAAAATTGGCCGTCTGAAGAGATGTTGCCCAGGGGACACCCAGACGTGTTACTATCCCATGGGAGGCTTCTCCCATGTCTCTGCATGGAAGCTGGAGCTAACAGTCGAGAGCTCGTCCCTTCTCTCAGAGATGAACCACCGACCTCCAGGTCAACAGTTCAGCCGGCACAAGGGTTTAACCCATTGCGGCTCCAATAATTTTTAGGGTATTGACATTTCTTCGTGGCACTATTTTCCTAGAAGGAACTATGAGAAAAAAGCAGCCATATGTACATCTTACTGCAGCTGCATTGAACTTGCAGTAAATGTAACTGAAGATGAAGTATATCACAAAAGTGTGCAAATATTTCTGAAAATGGGAACTTACTCAACATTTTTAAATGCATATTTCTCAGATCTCCTCATAATTTCACTCTGAAGTATGTTTCCTAGAAATATAGTATGTGCATTAGAGTTCACCATATTGAATTTCAGTGGTAAACACTATTTATAGACCTTAGCAGACTGCTTTTTTTAAGGATGGCAAAATGAGAACAGCTGTGAATACACATCAGTTTAAATATATCTTGTTGTGTTGTATTATCAGGTGCAGCGGTTGCAGAGAGACATCAAGATAAAAAATGATAACCTTCAGTCAACCACTGAACAAAACCTTGTTCTGCAGCAGGCACTCCAACAGCAACAGCAAATGTTGCATCAGGAAACTCTTAGGAACAGTGAATTAGAAGACAGTCAAGTAAAGCTCCAAAAGCAGGTGCATTCTTTAGAGTTCAAGTTACTTTTGACTGTGTTTTTTGATTTCCAAGTTTTTGTGAAACTATTACTTGAATCAAATTCTAAAACTTCGATTTTGGCCTGCCCAGTGAAATCTATCTTTTGTCAAGTGAAGATTTTAGGAGCAAAAAATGCTCATGCTAATGATATAAGTTAGTTTTCGCAACTAATTTGCATGGTAGAATGACTAAGGAATTATTTTTGGAGGAAGTTTTTCTGGGTTTACGCAAATAGCTTTGGGGTATGTGTGATACTACTTATTATCTTTGGCCTCAAGGAACATAAGTAACATTTGCTGTGGTCAGATATGGAAGGCTAACATATGCAAGGTTGTGAAAGTGTTTCCATTCCATGCTTTCTGAACCTTGGTAAAGATTCTTTCCCTAAAATTATCGTTCCACAGTTTCAAAAGAAGACCTAGACCCTCCCTACTGTGTGCACTGGGTATTACCTCCTGGTATATGTGTTACAATCTGCCTTTTAAGCACCTTCAAACTTTACTAGTTTGAATGAGGTTTGGGTTTGCCTTGTATTGTTTCTGTTGTGTGGAAGTACATATAATTATGATTACATGTTTTAGTTAACTTTGTTTATATCCTGTTTCCCCCCAAAACTAGGTTGTAAGGTATCTTATAAATTAATGCATGTACAGTATAGCTAAAAACATTAAAAAGTTAATATTAAAGTATAATTAAGCTATCAATAAAATCAAAACATACTATATTAAAATAATACAATATCATTAAAATATAATTAAGATTATTAAAATATAATTTGTTGTAATTATCTCCATGGAAATGGACTTAGGAAACAGTTGCCTATCTACAGTCCCCAAGCTATTAACTACATGTTAATAATTGTAAATTTAATGAGAGTTCTCTATAATAACTGGGCAGAGATTCTGTTAATTGTTTATTAAAAATTATGTTCCAAACGCAAGAGGTTTTTTATTGTCGTAGTAATTTTATTCAGAAATAACTAACACAATAGCAAGAATACAAACCAGAAGACAAAATACAAAGACAAAAAAGAGAAGAAATCCATTTTCCTAATATAAAAAAACACTACACTACAACCACTAAACATTGAACACATACAAATCTAAAATGCCTAACCTAAGGGCTTTACATTCTCTGCATAATGTCTTTATTCCCTCAGTTTTCCACATGCATTAAAAGAAAAAAGAAAAAACCTTGCCCTTTCCCTTTATATTTGCTAGGGATGTTAAATAATCAGCTCAAGAGAAAATGTGAGACTAATGTTATATATGGGTGACCACAATATGATAGAAAATCTGTGGTAAGATTTCATTGTGAATGTTCATCCAGCATGACAGAGCTGGCAAAAAATTGTAGAGTCCAGACAACAAAACTGAGTGTTGCCCAAGAAAACTTGCAGGTATGATTTCTTCCAAAGGTGTTTCTGTTACGTATTGACTTGAGAGTGAATGCTTTCGCAACAAACAATGTTCTTAATAAAACAATGTAACAAAAATATTTTGCAAAATCACAAAGTTGAATATACTTATGCCAGGTGCTGTGGGATTGAGCTGTACCAAAATATTAAAACTGTTGGGTTTTCAATTTAGTTATCCAAAATAGAACAAGAATATCAAAAGCAGAAGGAAAATTTAGAAGAAGAACTGAGAAAATCAAATGAAAAACTCCACGTAGCCTGTGAAGAAGCTGAAATGAAAAGACAAAAAGTATTGGAACTGAGTGGCACTATCAGGTATGTTCAGGACATTTTCTATAGAAAGTTTTTTTAATGGTGTGTGTCTGTGTAGCCTGCCGGTTACATGTGATCCTGCCAAATCAAAATATTGTGGCACAACCAGAATCTGTTGTCAAAAGCTTTCATGGCCAGAATTACCTGGTTGCTGTGAGTTTTCCGAGCTGTATGGCCATGTTCCAGAGCATTATCTCCTGATGTTTTCCCCACATCTATGGCAGGCATCCTCAGAGGTTGTGGGGTCTGTTGGAAACTAGGCAAGTGAGGTTTATATATCTGTGGAATGTCCAGGGTGGGAGAAAGAACTCTTGTCTGCTTAAGGCAAGTGTAATAGTGCAGTTGGTCACCTTGATTAGCATTTAATTGTCTTGTAGCTTCAAAGCCTGGCTGATTACTGCCTGGGGGAATCCTTTGTTTGGAAGTGTTAGCTTGCCCTGATTGAGTCTTGTCTGGAATTCCCCTGCTTTTTGAGTGTTGCTCTATTTACTGTCCTATTTTTAACCAGAATAAAAAAATGATACTTGACTATAGTAGTATAAAATGCAAAAAAAAAAAAAAAGGTTTTAAAAGATAAATGTTATAATGCCTTTCTAAACATCATAAACTTACCATAAAATTTATGCCATAGTAAGTACTTAAAATAATGTTTGTTCAACATACCCTCCATTTAGGCTATTTGTTGAAATTTGTTCTTTTTTTCTTTATTTAGGCAGATAAAATTAGAGATGGATCAATGTAAGGATGAATTAATTGACATGGAGAAAGAATTGGTGCACTTAAGACGGGATGGTCACACTAAAGCAATGCAGCTGGGAAACGTGGAAATGGGTTTGGAACAGAAATCCTCAGAACTGAATAAAAAGACACAACAAGGTAAGCTTTTATGATGCTTCTTAATAAGCCTTTTGTGAATGACCATACTGGCAACATGGAAATGCTAGAAGATTTTTCTAATAGATTGTGCCATTTACATTGAAATAGTAAAACAGGGCTATAGATTTCCCTGTCTAACAACTATACAGAAAGCATTTTATAGGTATTTTTATATTTTTATATTATTATGTGATATTACCCATATATACTCGAGTACAAGCCGATCTGAATATAAGCCAAGGCACCAAAATTTCCCCCCCAAAACTGGGAAAACGTATGTACTCGAGTATAAGCCAAGGGTGGGAAATGTAGCAGCTACTGATAAATTTCAAATTTCAAATAGATACCAATAAAATTACATTAATCGAGGCATCAGTATGTTAAATGTTTTAAATATTTACATAAAACTGTAATTTAAGATAAGACTGTCCAATTCTGATTAAACCATTATTCTAACCTCCTTCAATGTAAATATGCTTATGTAACCTTCCAATAATAATAAATAGGATAAAATACTAAATGTAATAATAATAGAGTAAAATAATGGAAATATAATAATAGCAACAGTAATAATAGAATGAAATATTGAATGTAATAATAATAATAATAATAATAATAATAGAGTAAATAATAAATATAATAATAACAATAATAGAGAAAAATAATAAATGTAATAATAATAACAGCGTAAAATAACAAATAACTTTGACTCAAGTATCAGCCATGGGGGACTTTTCAACCTAAAAAAGGGCTGAGAAAATACTTGTAAACTGTTGAAATTATGGATTCTTCTTACTGATTCAGGTGGGGGGATAAAATATAAGTTTATGTAAATTAGTTTTTGAAATTATTTAACACCAAAGTGGGTAAAATGGTAGGTGTGACTCCATAAAGCTTATTAGCTGTTAACAGCAAACTCTACAATATGGGTCACATGATTAGCCCTTGTATGTTTATTTTTCTTTACTCACCGGTAGTTTCTGAGGAGATAATAAGTTGATGAAAGTTGCAATTGCTAGATGACAGAGTTTAATCCTTGGCATTGGATAAAGATTCTATCTTTTTTTTAAAAAATCTCCAAAATGACATTTTTAATCATTCATTTATATTGAGAGGTAAAGCCTTTAAACTTGGCCCATGCAGTCACCAAAGACAAAACAGACTAGAAGCCCAGTCATAGTTTGTGACAAATCGTCTGTTCATCTATTGGAATGATCTGAATCCAGTGGATGTGGCAACATGTATATGCATTGGATATTTTATAGTCTTTATGCGATTTTGTGTTTTTTTACTTTGGAAGTTTATATAGCCTTTTATATAATGCTAACTTCTAAGACAGCTAAAAATCAAATATAGCTTTTTTTACATGCTTTTTTTGCTTTCTGTATTCACAAAAGTGAAAGAGTTAGAAGACAAACTTCTTGCAAGTGAGACGCAGCGAAAAGAAGCTGCACAGAAAATTGAAACTTTAGAGGATGACATGCAAAATGCCACTAGTGAATTAAAAACTACTTTGAGACAACTGCAGGAACTGCGGGATATGTTTCAGAATGCTCAGATGTCGTTGGAGGAGAAATACGCAGCTATCCAGGATTTAACAGAAGAATTAAGGTAACTGGATACATTATAATCCAGATCACGGATATTCAGTGAATTCATTCTGTGACTGAGCTCTTAACTCAAATCATTTTTATTTCAAAGTGAAATTTCCCATTAAAATGCTATTAATCCATTCTGGCCCCTTGGACCCCCCCCCCCTCCCAATTTTTTGTTACGTGTTTTTAAATAAGAAAATGTACTGCACATACACATGGAACAATAACAAAAGGAAGATGATGATGATAATAATAATAATAATAATAATAATAATAATAATAGCTTTATTCTTGTATCCCACCTCCATCTCCCCAAAGGGACTTGTGGTGGCTTAAAAGATAAATTTCAGATTGTTGAAGCACAAAGTTGTGGCAAGGAAACACAAAGTGAAGAGGCAGAAGCATCATTTTCTTCATACTATATTCATTACAGCCTCCACTCCCTCTCTTGCGCCCTCCCTCTCTCTCTTCATGAAGCCAAACATACTGGGAATAAAAACCACACAGAATCAACTAACCCAAAAGTTCCTCAAAGAAATCAGAGCAGACAGCAATCTCCCAAAGCAGACAAGAGCATGAGGCACAGAGGCTGCTTCTCTTGTGTTAGCTCTTAACTCAAAACTCTGCTCCTATGTCAAAGCGAAAGGTGGGCTGAGTGCCTCTTGTAACTGAAAATGCTCATAAGTAGGGACGCTCATAAGTCGAGGTTCCACTATAATTAATTCATTGGAAACTGTCAGGATGGCATGGATGAGCAGTCCACTACAATTGGGTTATGCCTTGCACACGAAACTTTCAAGGGCTTCTCCCTCCTCCCAACAATTCTTGCCTTTCAACCAAAGAATGTCCAAGCAAGGTGCTACATCACTTTGCAGAGGCTACATTCCATTTTGAGCAAGAATTGCCTGGAACTGGGACGGGAAAAGCTGAGGAAAACTGGAGGAGGCAGCAACAACACATTGTGACGGAGAGTTGGTGATGGCGATCAGGTCTTCCCTTCCCACAATCATTTCTTGCATCTTACCTCAGTCCTCCTCCATTTTCCAAAACTAGAGGGAACAAATATGTTCATGTACAGCACCTAATCTGCAAGTTGCTGTCTCCCTCGCCCCACTTGTCTTCATTCTTTCTCCCCTTCCATACACACCTCGGCATAGCTAGCAGTGTTCAGCCACTTGCTTCTTTAAGGCTGCTGTCAGAAATAGGTGCCGGAGAATGCTCAATTCTGTCTTGATAGAACCCAACATGAACATGAGCAAGCTCTTTTCCCTTTTGGGATATGGGTGGGAAGAAGGCCCATGTTGCTATTTTCCCTAGTCCCACTTGCTATATTACCCTTTCCTGAAGGTAATGCTGAGAATGGATAGAGCTCGAGGCCCCAGTTAATCATTCCTTTGGCTTCACTTGGGCAATTGTGAGTGGAACAACCATCCATCAGAAGCATGACTACATCTTACAGATGCCACAGATAGCAAACAAAACAAAAGCATATAAGCAAGAAATTGCAAGCATGTGCATGTCTTACAGGAATAATTTATTTAGTCCCTATCCCAAAAAATTCCAGTGAATTCCATTGGCCAATTTTATACAGCCTTTATTGGCTTTTCAATTAATACATATACTTTAAAAAAGTCGTTAAAAAGAGAAAGACAAGTCCGAAAGCAATGAAGCAAGAAGAAAGAATAGAAAAAAAAGAAGAAGGTGGGAATAGACTAGGGAGAGGGGAGAGGGTTGCGCGGTAGGAAGAAAAGTGTGTGTGCAAAAGAAGAGGGAAAATGTGTAGAAGTGCTTTCATTTAAAAACAGTAGAAAACAAAGAACAAGAGTTCAGTCTAACCTTCGGTCTGGCTTCCCAATGTCTTCAGTGAGGTTTTCCTTTTCTTTCTTTCCCCTTCCTTTCGTTCTTTCTTCTTTTATTATTCCTTGATTAATGAATTTACTTTTTCTCCCTGCTCAGTTTCTAATCTCTGATTCATTTCTATTTGAAATATTCAATTTTCAAGGATTTTAGATCCACTCCCTTTTTTTATCAGAGATTCGATTTTAATAAGGTATGACTTGTTTTTTCCCCAGACTTCTAAATAATGTCTTCATTTTCATAAAAGTAAATACTGTTGAACTGAGAAAGAAAAGAAAAATCTTTATTTTGAAATTTCATTTCCAGAGAATGCAAGGATGAACTTGAGGAGAAAAAACAAGACCTTCTTGAGATGGACAAGACACTGAAAGAAAGAAACTGGGATTTGAAACAAAGAGCAGCTCAGGTTTGAAAATTATCAGAATATTTATTTTAATTAGTATAATATGTTTTGTGCAAACAGTCATACCTCACATAACAAAGCCTCTGACAAAACTCTTTCTTACATGTGCTTTTTTAATGCCATCCTAGCCCTGTTTTCTTTCTCATCCTCTCTCGTGCTAAAAGTTTTTTTTGGTAGCATCGGCATTGGCAGGATGGTGCAGGAGGGCTCGAGAAACACAGGCTTGTGCTGTCAGGTTGCAGCAGCCTGTCTACTAAGCTGAGAGTTTTCTGGGCTGTATGGTCATGTTCCAGAAGCATGGTTTCCCCTTGACATTAAGTCTAGTCGTGTCCGACTGGGGGGTGTGGGGTGGTTCTCATCTCTGTTTCTAAGCTGAAGAGCTGGCTTTGTCCGTAAATGCTTCCAAAATCATGTGACAAGCAAGTTCAGCAGCTCAGCAGTATAACCCGCTGCGACACCGGCGGCTAAGCCCAGGAAAATAGTAGTTGAATCCATAAGCCTTTAGTGAGAGGCATAAACAGCAAAATAAAGAGAAAAGGAGGAGCAGATATGTCTGCCTCCCCAGGTCCCACTAGAATGTTAGAAAATCATAAATCTATAGGTTTTTCCACCATATTGGAAATAAGGAAAGCGGAAGCTGGTGAAATAACAAATTATTCTGTGATACATTTTGGAAGAAGACTTCAAGTGGTTTACAGAGGGTACAAAATGTTTCGGTGTACTTCTGCAAGGTTTATCTGAATGCTTCATTTCACAGGGGCATATGGTTAGTTTTGAATAAAAACTTTGTCGAAACAGTTGCAACTGCTCTTCTTTTTTGTAGTGTAGAACCTATCCCTATCTGTTCCATGTTATTTCTGCCTCAAGTATCAAATTTTCTGTTATGTCATGACCAGGAGAACATTGACTTTGTTAACTGAGGCATACCAGGTTTTTTTTAAGTACAAGTTGTAAGCATTTCACTGGTGTGTAATTCCATAACTGATGCTAGTTTATTCTCACATTTGTTTTTGTTTGGTGTTTTGACTTTCTTTCTTTCTTTTTTTCTATGTTTAAGGTCACTCAGTTGGATATGTCAGTTCGTGAGCACAGGGAAGAACTGGAACAAAAAATTATTAAATTGGAAGGAGCTTTGGAAAAAGCAGAGTTGCAGATCAAGGACTGTAATAGACAGGTATTTATTCAAAATATTATAACAGTGAACCTGCGTAGCTCCCGCACTCCATATTTTAACATGAGTTCTAAACAATATTGTAGAGGTTGTTGGAACTTCTAAAATACATATTTTCTTAATAATGTATCTTGTGGTTTATATTTTGTTATCAGATTGAGAGTTTAGAAAGCCAGCTAGAGCATTCAAAAGATGAAGTCAGTGAGAAAGAGTTTAACTTGCTCCAGCAAGATCAAGAAATAAGCCGTCTTAAAAAAGAAGCTGAAAGAAAGCAGCAAAAAATAACAGATATGGAAAAAGTAAGTCTTTCCAAGTTTGTTTCTGTCTGTTATCTAATCACTGAGCAATAAAAGAAAGAAAACACATTCAGTCCTTTATGTATGAGGCATTTAACAGCATAGTCATTTGCATGTCTCCTCAAAAATAAAGTTCATCAGTACTTCCATTCAAATACATATACATAGAATTGCAGCCTAACTGTGTGTTTTCACTACCCAGCGCATGTTTTCAAAATAGTACTAGATATTCTGCGGAGTTCAATTATTGTGTCAAAATGAGCAAAGAGTTATATGGCTCACTAAACTATTTTGTAAGCCTTTATTTAATCCATCACAAAAAAAATCCTCTGCAGTGGTGTAGTGAGACCCAAAAAATGAAACTAGGAAGGTCCTTCCCTGACTTTTTCCTTTAGCTTTGTATCTTTGAAATTGTCGAATGGTCTTAGAGAAAATAAATAGAATGTAAGAAACATAAACTGTGATTATTACATGAAAGATCATATGTAAAAGTAATTACAGAAATTTATGTTCCTGGGTCATTTCTTCATTGAATTAAACATGTGTGGAGAGAGAAAAAAGCAGAATTTCAGGGTTAGATTTCCTGTCCAAAATTAGGGAATTCCAATTTGGAAATTAAGTTATATTGTGTTGTTGAAGGCTTTCATGGCTGGAATCACTGGGTTGCTGTGAGTTTTCCGGGCTGTATGGCCATGTTCCAGAAGCATTCTCTCTGATGTTTCGTCTGCATCTATGGCAGCCATCCTCAGAGGTTGTGTGGTCTGTTGGAAACTAGGCAAGTGGGGTTTATATATCTGTGGAATGTCCAAGGTGGGAGAAAGAACTCTTGTCTGCTTGAGGCAAGTGTGAATGTTGCAAATGGCCACCTTTTTTGCCTTGCAGCTTAATGGCCTTGCAGCTTCAAAACCTGACTGATGGCTTTGTTAGAAGGTATTAACTGGCCCTGATTGATTCTTGTCTGGAATTCCCCTGCTTTTGAGTGTTGCTCTTTATTTACTGTCTATTATTGTAGTTCTGTTACCTGTGAATTTCACTACAGGAGTTAATTACATCTATCATAAATCTTTTGCAAATAGTCACTAGAATTATTTTCACATTTGGACTTCCTTACAAAGACTACTCTACTCAGAGAGAAGATAGCTGGGCTTCTGACAAATACTAACTTTCTCTGAATGAGTTTGCTGCATACAACCTCCCCCTTTAATATAGTTACAAATGCAAATTTCTGGGCAAATTAGACATGGATATTTAAACTCATACATATGCCGTTTCCCAGTATTTGAGGGGGCAGACACTGAAGTTTCACAGTGGTTGTCAAAGTTCATAATATCATTACAGTTGCAGATAGACAGGATCAAGTTATTCCTTTCCTACCTTAGTGAGAAAGAAGGAGGAGAAGGCTCTTTGTAGTATGCAAAAACGGGATGTGGGGATATTATCCTTCATTTAATGTGTCATCTAAAATCAATGGGGATGTTGCTCCGTACACAACCTATTATTTGTAAACAAAACAAAACAAATATTTAGTTATGATCCTAGTTTGTAAAGCAGTGGTTCCCAACCTTTTTTTGACCAGAAACCACTTGACCAGGGACCACTCTCCAACATTAGTACCAAAAGGGTTACAAGTCAAGTTTTTGGTCAACTTTAGATTTGGTTTGGTTATTTGGAGTGCTGATTCAGAAAATTGCATAGGATAGACCACATCAGCTCTAGTTTCTGATACAGAATATATGCCATCCATTAGTTGCCATCTGCTCACCCACAGAAAACAATATTTAATATGCTTCGGCACTATTAGAGGGTTTTGCAAGACCAGTCATTCTCATTGTAATGGTGTAGTAATGGAGAGGTCGTGGACCATATTTTAGTTCACAGACCACAAGTTGGGAACCACTGTTGTAAAGGGAGCAGTAACCAAGACTGAAGGTTTGGATGCCATATTAAACCATCTCTAGTTTGCTTGGCTACTTCTGACAATGACAAATGGACTGCATACACCATACAGCATCCAAAGTGGATTCTAATCAGTGAATGTGTGTGGTACCTGTTCCTAAGGGAACACAATGCCATTTCCTTTTACACACAATAGGATTTGTCTTATATGACAAAAGAAATTAGTATTAATAAAGAGGAAAGAAAAACAAAATTGTTTTGTTTTATTCATATGAATGTTTTGCTTCTTTTAGAAGATGAAAGAACAAGGCAAATGCATTGCTGAACAGTACAAAGAAACACTTGATTTGGGCCAGCAGTTGAGACTAGAACGTGAACAAATGAAACACATCCACATAGAGCTACTGGAGAGCCGCCGTCAACAGGCTCAGGCTCAGAGAGATGTGGACAGAATCTCTCTTGAACTGGAAGAAGTAAACCATCTCTGTCTTGAAAAAGTAATCACCTTTTTAAAAAATTATTTTCACATGAAAATAATTGGTCCAGTGGAGGACCAATTTAATGGCTTCTTAATGCCTTGTTTGGACTGTTTTAGAGGCCTCCTGGGCATTTTGAGCCATTGATCTGCCCCTTCCCCATTATCACAACTGCAATTAGTTTGTGATGAGGGTTCTCTCAGATTAACCAGAAGAAAGCTACCGGTACTTCCCTTCCGTTCTTTCTGGGATTATACAAAGAGCTGAAATTTGAATAATAATGAGTTCTCACTCGAACCTTCCTCTCCTATTAGTGTGCTCCAGAGTGTTGTGAGTCATTATGGATTTTAATTGGAGACCAACAGTGGTGCTAAGGAGTCTTATTTTGTCTGGTTACATTTTTTTATTTTTCCATAGCAACTTCAATTTGCCTGTTACCAGTTTAATTTCTTGTGAAACTGAAATAATAAACCAATAGGCACTTTGTTTTGAATAGTAACACAGTCTGCAAATGTGGGCATCCTGCAGTATTCTTTACAGGTGTTTCCTTATGAAGAAGCTCTGGGTAGACCAAGAGTTTTAGTAACATGAGCATTGCACATTAAAACACAACTACACAACTTTGGTGGATTGGAATCCAGTTTTTTGCCCCTCCAAGGGCTACATGGACAACAGAAGGGGCAGAAAACAAACGCTTATTGGAAGTTCCATTCTTTGTAAAATTGGAATTTTATGTTAAGTAGCAAAATTTATTTAAAAGTAGAATCACATTTTTTTCAGTCTATTTAGGCCAGAAAAGGAATTGCAAAAGTGGTAATAGTCCATCAAAATATCAAGAACAACATCAACAAAAACCACAAACAAATCTTGAGAACCAGCCTCCATCCTTACATTTAGTGCTCTTGGAACAGGGTCTGCCCAGGATCTGGTCACTGCCTTGATTCTTCTCAACTTTTCCTATCAGTCAGTCCATTCTATTCTACCTCCTTGGAGAGCCATGAAATATCCTTTGAAATACTCACTTTCCTTAGGTTTCTTGTAGAAAATTGTTGGTGACTTTCTGTTATTTGAAACCACAGGGTAGAATGCCCCTTCTTTTATTTTTTTGTTAAGGAAAATGTCATCTACATGAAATGATAATCTCTGAAATTGTTCCACAATTTTATTCCAGGAGAGTCGTGGAAATCATTTGGCAGAACAACTGGGAGCAGCTCAGGCACGAGAGACACAATTAGAAGCAAGAATGAAAGCTGAAATTCAGAAGCTTACCACAGAAATACAATCTCTAAGGCAATCTTATACATCAGAGGTGAAAGCGAAATTGTTTTTATCCATTTCTGATGCATTGTTTTGTGGATGCTAATTGAGGCTTTTCTTGTGACTTTAGAAACTGCTCACAAGTTTTACTCTCATTTAAAAGAGAAAGTGTGTCTTTAACATTACAAATAGAGGACAGATGGATGAAGTCTATTAATTTTCTTTTATGAATATTAAGTACAACTACCATCAAGCTAAAGACAACATTGGATAGCTTGGCTATTAAAATAGTTATAGCTTGAGCCGCAATACTTGAGATATTAGCAAATGTTTGGGCATTGCTGAGTTACTACAATGAGATTTGTACTGAGTCTGATATCCATTAGGATGCATACATTATGTTCATTATATTCTTACATGTTCAGAGAGTCTCCAATGAAGCCCAGAAGACAAAACTGAAAGAATCCATATATAAATCACAGCATGTTCATGAACAACTGCAGCAGCTGAAGTTGGAACTTGATGAAGCTCAAGCGACCGTCTATAATCTACAGCAACAGCTTCAATCCAAAAATGAAATGATTCAAGCAGCAAATGAAGCTCTCCTTTTCAAAGTTAGTTAATATGGCAATGTTAACTCTTCTAGAAGGAGACATTGTGAAATTATTCATCTTTGTTTTTGATTAACTAAGGAAGTTATTTAGATGTTTTCCATATTTACCCAGTAATATGTAGATTCTAGAATAAACAATGTGCAGTTTGTGTTCAGTGTTTCCATCTTTTCAGAGTTACATCTAATAACATGGGGCAAGGAGTTGCTAAAATAGTGTCATATGTAATGTAAGTTAAATTTGCTAAGTTTAATATTATAGACTACTCTTTTGTAATATTTTATTGAAAACACTGGCTAACACACATTTTGGTGTCTCAAATGTTAGCCCTGTTTCTGAGTATAATTGACATCCTGATTCCAAAAATGGCATCAGTTTTCCCCTACTAGCTCTCATTTTTTGAGATATAGAATATGTGTGTGTGTGTGTGAGAGAGAGAGAGAGAGAGAGAGAGAATATTGATTTCAAAAGTATTTGAAGTATTTTTTAAAGAATAGATAGATAGATAGATAGATAGATAGATCGATAGATAGATAGATAGATAGATTCTGTATATACTCGAGTGTAAGGCAACCCGAATATAAGCCGAGGCACCTAATTTTACCACAAAAAACTGGGGAAATTTATTGACTCAAGTATAAGCCGCGGGTGGGAAATGCAGCAGCTACTGGTAAATTTCAAAATGAAAATAGATACCAATAAAATTGCATTAATTGCAGCTTCAGTAGGTTAAAGGTTTTTGAATATTTGCCATATTTCAAAGAAAAACAGCAAACTAGCTCTGTCAGTGGAAAAGTAGGTCAACAAAAACAATATGGTTTCAACAATAACTTTATAATAATAGTAATAAAACTTCGTTTGTATCCCGCCCTATCTCCCCATAGGGGCTCAGACTGGCTTCCAACATAGTAATAGGCAAACATTCAATGCCTATATAAACAATGCAGAGCTAGATATAGATCTATAATTATATATACTAATTTTACGTGCGTATTTGCCCCTGAAACATTTTGCAAATCCTCTCTCTGTATATGTGCATTTCCCTCCTGCAATATTTGCAAGCCCTATATATCTATGTTATATTTATCTAGACATCTCTCTCTATGTGTGTGTATGTATGCATTTCCCCTGTTATTTGCAAGCTCTATATATCTATATTCATTTCTATGTAGACATGTCTATATGTGTGTGTGTGTGTGTGTGCAATTCCCTGCAATATTTGCAGGCCCTATATTTCTATGTTTATATCTATCTAGACATCTCTCTCTATATGTGTGTGCATTTCCCCCCTGTAATATTTGCAAGTCCTATATATCTATATTCATATATCTCTATCTAGACATCTTTCTCTATACATAGAAAATTACATATAGGATTTGCTAAGACTTGCAAACATGTGAAGGGAAAATTCATAAATAAAATTATCTATAAAGATATACATACACATAGAGAGATATATACAGATATATAGGTACTATTAGGAGACACAAATTATTTATATTTTTATTACTCTTGTTATGGTTTTATACTATGTGTTAATGTTTTAAATGTTTTATGATGTTCTTGGGCATTGAATCATTGCCTCTGTGAACTGTCATGAGTTGCCTGAGGGCTGAGAAGGGAGGTATACAAGTACAGCTAATAAATAAATAAATAAATAAATACTATATATGTATCGATATCTATATAAGATTTGCAGAGACTTGCAAACATGTGAGGGGAAAATTCATATATAAAAATAATGTATACATACAGATACAGATATACAGGTGCATGGAAATCTCTAAATATCTATATGTATATAGGATTTGCAAAAACCTTCAAATACATGAGGGGAAAATTCATGTATAAAATTAATGTATATAGATAGATAAATGGATAGATAGGTAGATACATATATATATTAGGTACATGTGAATTGCAAAGGCTTGCAGGGGAAGATGCCTATATTTAGGAGAGATTAACAAATATTTCGGGGGGAAATACTTGTATATTGGATATTCATGACTTGCATGGTCTTCTCTCCCTTTCTAGAGAATGAGGGGGGGTTTGGAAAAGAAAACACACTGTTAAGGGAGGAAAAGAATTATATCAAGCATTGGCCTCCAGGCTCTGTTGCCTGGCTTGACCCCATTATAAGCTGCGGAAGGCTTTTTCAGTCCAAAAAGGGGGCTGAAAAACTCAGCTTATCTTTGAGTATATACCGTAGATAGATATATTTTTAGTTATAAAACCACTGTATTAACACAGAATCTTGATTTTGCTGATGAATAATAGACGGTCATTTCCTCTTCCTTCTTCCTTTTCACAGTGGTTGTGCCAGCTGATTATAACTCTGTAATTTCTATAGAACTTTTTTTCTTTCCTGGTTATACTTTAGGAATCAGAAGTAACACGACTAAAAACTAGAGTTGCAAGTGTTGGCAAAAGGGAATCCATGAAGCACTTATCCGTCCCTCAAAATGTATCTACTCAGCAATGGCTTGATGATCCAGAACTGGACTTCGCCAAGCATTCTCAGATTTCTTTCTCTACTCAAAGAAACTTGCGTCGCTCCACAAGCATCAGTGATCCAAGCTTCAAAAACAGCGGGAACGTGTTAGATCGGAAGCAGATGACATTGGACTCTTCTGCCACTTCTGGGAAGTCAAAAGACATAACTCATGCTTCACCAAATGGTCTGAATGAATCATCTTTTGATCCTTTGACACATATAGTAGATGGAGATGTGTCTGGTGACAGTAATGACTTCCAGACTCTTAGTGGGATGCTAAAATATATCAACAAAGAGATGAAGACTTCTGAAATCAAGTATGTAGTATTTAACTAGTATTTCTATAAATTGCAAACAGACAGTTTAAAATAATTAAGCAGTTTAAAACCAAGAAAACCTTTTAGTTGGGCTATGAAATTTGCATTAATTTCAATTATGTGTCTTTCAGGAATGAAGATTATGAAGAACCAGCATGCTAACTAGCAGCTGTGTCAGCGGAATTATTGGAATTGTGGTCAAGAAGATATTTTATAGAAACTGTACAAGTTCAGAGATTTATGTCTCCTAAGCCCCTTCTAATTTTCTCAATTGAATTTTTATAATTATTACCTTAAAGGTAATTGTACAGGAATATAGTTGCTTTAGAAGATACCTTGAGTTTTTAATTTATTTTTCTAATATTTTGTTTTTTTTCAATCAAACATATTATTCACTTAATAAACAAACAATGCAAATTATGTTGGTCATAATTTTGTTATACTAAAACACACTCTACAAGATCATTTGTATCTCTGCGCACATGTGGTTAAATGTAAATAAATAAGGAAAGAGGCTTCCATAACTAGGATTCAACAGGGGATTGAGCAGTTTGTGTGTGTGCAAGAGCTCATGTTATCTCTTATTATCAATGTCTGAAAACTAGTTTATTCAAAGGCGTAGGACAGTTTTTCCGTCTACAGTAGAATTACACCTTTCCCAAGGGAAGTGATTATCAACCCTGCTTATATATGTATAGAAAGAGAAGGGGTGGTTTTAGTTTTTGACTTTTAGAATCTGCCCTTGATAACCATATAATTGTTAATCTGTTTGGAGCATATTTATGTCCATAGACTTCCTGAGCTCTGTTTTTTTATTGGAAGAACTACTGCTGTGAATTGTCTTTTATAGGAAGATGTAACCCTGGTGGCACAGTGGTCTAAACCGTTGAGCTGCTGAACTTGCTGACCAAAAGGTCAGCAGTTTGAATCCAGGGAGCGAGGTGAGCTCCTGCTGTTAACCCCAGCTTCTGCCAACCTAGGAGTTTGAAAGCATGCAAATGTGAGTAAATTTATCCTATTCCCCACAGGTGTAGCTGAAAATACTATTCAGTTTCCTGTATTTAGCTGACAGTCCAGGCAACACAGAATAGAAATTATCTTGCCCTTATTTCTTGTGCACTGGGACATGTTTTACTTAGTGACTGAGAATTAAAGGTAAAGGTTTGCTCTGACATTAAGTCTAGTCATGTCCAACTCTGGGGTTTGGTGCTCATCTCCATTTCTAAGCTGAAGAGCCAGTGTTGTCCGTAGACACCTCCAAGGTCATGTGGCCATCATGACTGTATGGCACGCCGTTATCTTCCTGCAGAAGGGGTATCTATAGATCGACTCACATTTGCATGTTTTCAAACTGCTAGGTTGGCAGAAACGGAGCCTAACAGTGGGAGCTCACCCCACTCTCCTGACTTGGAACCACCAACCTTTTGGTCAGCAAGTTCAGCAGCTCAGCAGTTTAACCTGCTGCACCACCAGGGGGCCTTGAGAATTATAAGAATGATGATGATGCTTATTATTATTATTATTATTATTATTATTATTATTACTTTATTTCTTATCTGCCTCCTTGTGACTTGAGGTAGGTCACATCACAGTCAAAACACACAAACATTGCAAAAATTCTATAAACACACGTATTAAAATTTAGTTCTATAAAAGATACATATTAAAATGTATTTCTATATAAAAAACATCTCTCCAGTCAGTGACTCCAAATTATTAGTTATGTGAGTTGCTATCATGTCTGTCTCTGATGGATTCCTTTATCCAGGTTGGCCCCAATACTCCAACCTCTAGGAATCCTATTCACCTTGCCCTTGTTCCCCCAATTATTTCCTTTTGGACTGGGTTATTAGTCCCCAGGTGTCCTTTAATTGTGAACTTATGACTGTGTTGCACTCCAGAACAGGTATAACCCTCTGACTTTAAAACACCATATGCTGAGTAGGAAAACAATCCTTTTTTAAATGAAGATAAGAAAAACTGCTTTTTTAAGGGAATAGGTAAATCCAATTAGGTGAGGGATAAGCTAGGAACAAATTAGTCCAAGGTAGGGTTCAGCACAGTTCAAAAATAAATAATAATAATAAATAATTATAAATAATAATAAAACCCAAAGAAACAGGGAAACAGTGATCCAAGGCATGAATAAGTAATCACAAGAGACAAAGAATCAAACCATACAGCAAGAAATCCTTAAACATGGATCTTCCAAGCAAGGAGTTCATGGGACAAGAGCAGGAACTTAGCATGAATCTGAAACAATGCTTCATCTGGCTATTTCCCATGGTTGGAACTTAATATACCGTCATTAATTCCCAGCACTCCAAAACTGGTTTCGTTTTCCCTGAATACTTCTCATCCTTATCTGTTGTAGCCTGGCAGAACGGCGAAGACCTTGGTGGGGCTGTTTGATTTGGCTAATTTCCACCCATCTGTCTATATGCTCATTATTTTCTCCAGGTCCCGAGTTGTTTTCAAACCCCAAATCCTGGAAACTCTCTGGGAGCAATTCAGGGAGTAAACTATCATCCCTATCCCCTGTAGGAACATTCTTGTTTGAACCTACACTTTGAACTGGTGTCACTACGTCATTCTCTGCATTAATATCATTGACCAGACCATTGCCATCATGAGCCTCATTGAAGAAGCAAATTAATCTCACAGAGGCAACACTGTTGCCCACAAACTCCCTGGATTATGATTAGTTTACCTTCATGCCAAGTCGACTTTGCACTATAACATTTAAAAAAATGAGCTCTAAGGCTAAACCCTGAGTAAAGAATTCTCAGCCACATCATCTGAAAACATATGCACATAGGCAACATTATATATGGCATATACCTTCTGCTCCCAATAAGCTTCCTTCATTAGTGATAGGACATTCCTTCCATTTATTTTGTTGTTTCAAAAATCTGACTCAGACCTGCTTACAAGGCACTGTTATTAATCCAATTATGTATATGATTATATAATCATTCATAAGCCTGTACTTTTCATTTGTCCATATGGAGGTTATCCTCTTAGCTTTGTAATGCCCAGGTATGTATCTTTAGATATGCTGACTCCTAACAAACTCATGGATAAAAACATTTCGGGCCTGGCAAAATTAAGTTCTTGTTCTGTAGACATCCTGTGTGCTGGCTACCCGCTCTCACAATGGCTCAAAAAACAGTGCTCATCACAGGTTGCTCCTCAGGCATCGGGATGGCTTTGGCTGTAAAAATGGCTGCAGATGAACAAAGAAGATTCAAAGGTAATAACTTGCATTTTTTAATCTTGCTATTTTGTGTTTCCAGATTTATGTCACTGTTGGTTCCATTGCCTAATATTTCCTATAGTGCAAAGGGACATTTCCTTTCAGATGATAACAAAAGGTCCCTCACTATTCGGTATATTGATAAAGGGTGATGGAAGTTGCAGTCCCAACAACAGCCGGTTGCACGCCCTCTGACTTAAGATGGAGGTTCTGTTTTATACTACTTTATGTAGCACCATCTAGGAATACAGTGTTTCTTTGCTACTTCACGGTTTGCTTTTAGCAGACTCGCTGTTTCGTGAGTTTTTGAAAATATTAATAAAAATATTAAATATTAAATATTTACATCCAGTGGAGGCCAGGGACCCTGGAAGTGCGGCAGCCTGAAGTGCGGCAGGCAGGCACCCTTGGGATGGGCCGGGAGGCGGGTAAGAAAGCGCGGGTAAGAAAATAATATATAAAAATATAAAATAATATATCAATATTACAATTAATATGGCGTCCCTACAGGTGGTCCTGGAACGGAACTCCCATGATAAGTGAGGGAACACTGTACGTCTTCTTAGATTAAATGAGACTTCCTTCTGAAGCAATAGCGTACTGGTGATTAACTTAGATTTCACCTATCTGCGGTCATGTCAGGTTTCATGCCTTTTTTAAAAAACCTGTCCTCTTTCAAATTGAAAATACTTTTTGATTTTTAGAACCTTAGGGGATGGGATCTTAGATACGTAATAACTGGTATTCTAGTTTTTATATTGCTCTCAGGTGAAGCCCTCTGTTTGAAATTTTTCTTTGTTTCAGTCTATGCTACAATGCGGAACTTGGATAAAAAGGACAACCTTGTAGAAGCTGCAGGCAGCACTATTGGCAACACAATGCAGATTATGCAACTGGATGTTTGCAATGAAGAATCCATTAAAATGTGTATCAGCAGCATCCCAGATAGAAGAATTGATATTCTAGGCAAGTAATGATACAGTTGGAAGAAATACACTATGCACATTTGTTAAAGCAAAATATTATATTTAATTAATGATTAGTCTCCCAAGAAGCTACATTCCCTAAATAATAGGGATGTATGTATAAATCTGATTTATTCAATCATATTGATTTTTAAAAGTAGTATATTACATCTCAGGGTATTGCCTTCATTTACACTATTGGTATTGTAACCTAATTACAATACCAATAGATGCAAGACTGCATCTCCGTCTACGAACCGGCGCAGGCATTAAGATCTGCTGGGGAGGTCTCTCTCTCAGTCCCACCACTGAGAGAGAGAGGGCCTTCTTGGTGGTGGCTCCCTGGCTCTGGAATATGCCCCCAAAAGAAATTAGATTAGCCCCCTTTCTTCAGGCCATCCAGGTGAGTCTAAAAACATGGCTCTTCAGATAGGCCTTTGATCCTGAGTAATCCATGGTCAACATGATGAATCATTGATATTATTGCCCCACACTTTGATTGTTACGACAGATAGCCGGTTTACCTGCAGGTTCTACTGCGTTTTAAGGATTTTATAATGTTGTATTTTTATAATTTTATCAGTGAGATTTTTATAAACTGATTGTACTTAAGTCATTGTAGTTTTACTTATGTATTCTTGTCTGTATGTGGCACTTGGAGTGATTCTGTGAGCTGCTTCAAGTCCCTTTGGAGAGATGGTAGGGTACAAATAAAGATTTATTATTATTATTATTATTATTACTACTACTACTACTATTATTATTACTATCTGTTAGTCCTTCTAAATAGAAATTCCTACCTTCCCTTTTTCTGTCTTCTCACTGAGTTAACTGAGTGCAAATTACTTTTGCATTTTGAGATCAGTTTGTAGCAATTGAACTAAACTGAAGAAAATGAGGTGAGGAGGGAGAAACTAGGTTGTTTTAAAAGCAGCTGAAAAAATGAGACAACAGAGGATCGGGACTGTCCCTACCAAATGAGGATCGTTGAAGGGTGTATGATGCCTTCATTTTGCATCCAGCTATACTACCCGCACAGCCATACTACCTGCTGAATGTTTCTCCATCCCACTTCTTAACCTGTTCTGCATAAGCCATGCAGTGGCTCTTTAGAGAAGGAGGATGGCTCATAGTTCTATCCTGGTGGAATTTTATGCCTTCTCTGCCTATAGTATGTCCTTATATTCTTTGCAAAAGTAGAGATAAGTATTCCAAACGGACTGCTCATCACATCATCAAATAGTAATTAGATAATACATTCAAGAAATAACAAAATGATCATTAATGCATTCATGTATATATCTAAATCCTTTTTTAAAAATCTGAGTCCAATCAGGCAAGGCTTGAACAGAATTCCAAAAGTTTGTTTCATTTGTACAGTTAACAATGCTGGTGTGGGACTCATTGGGCCAATTGAGTGCCAAACCATTGACGAGATGCAAAATGTGATGGATACAAACTTCTTTGGACTGGTCCGGCTGCTAAAGGAGGTTTTGCCTGACATGAAGAAAAGAAGGAGCGGCCATATTGTTATTATTAGCAGCGTCATGGGAGTACAAGGTACAATTATGTTACATAACAGTTGCTTACTGTAGTTATGTTTCTTGGTCAAAGGGTTCTTTTGAGACATCACCATTGTATCGCTTTATCTGAATTGCCCCTTTTCAAATTTTCTAAAGGTAATTCTACCTGTATGGAAGCTTTATTTATTTACAAAATGCTACTTTAAAATCTTTAGACCCTTCTATCTAAAGATCGCAAGGTAGCACAATGTAAACAATGCCATGAAATGTAAGGGCAAAACAATGAAATGATTGTAAATGGTTAAACACTTATTGAACAAGATTTGCTAATTCTAGAACTGAAGTTTGTGTGGTTACAGGTCTCAAAGTTGCCTGATTTGAGCCGGAATAAGAAGTTAAAGTAATACAGTTAGTAGGCCTGATATTTTTAAAATGATGTTACATGTTAACAATTTCTCATATCTTTCAAAGGGCATTTGTAGCAATATTTTAAAAAGTTTTATGGCATTTTTATCAAACTTATTTTTCTCTCTTTAAAAAAAAAGTAATAGAAAATTTAAAAGTGCAATAAGTTATGTAACAAGTTCTTTTTTCTACATTAAAATATATAGTTGCAGATTATTTAGTAAACTTTAGCACCAAGCCTTAGTGTTCCTGGCCAGGTTGCCTGCTGATTTATGGTAGTGGTTCTTAACCTGTGGGCTGCAGACTACCAATGGACTATGAAGATGAAAATCTGGTCCGCAAGCCTCCTTCCTATTTATTTTATTTTAATTTAATTTATTTCCACTCCTTTTGCACTGCCTGCTAGTTGTTCCCTATCGTTGACCATGGCATATGTGCTGTATCAGAAATTAGAGCTGATGTGGTCCATCCAATGCAATTTTCTGAATCAGCACCCCAAACCAAATCTAAAGTTGACCAAAAACTGATTTGTCACCCTTTTGGTGCTAATGTTGGAGAGCAGTCCCTGGTCAAAGTGGTCCCTGGTCAAAATGGTCCCTGGTTAAGTGGAACCTGGTTAAAGTGGTCCCTGGTCAAAAAAGGGTTGGGAACCACTGATTTATGGTGATCTCGTCAATTTCATGCATTTTTAAAGGCAAGGAATACTTGCCAGTTTCGTCGTCTGAAATACAGCCAACAGCACCTTGTATTCATTAATGGCCTCCCATCCAAGAACTAACCAGGGCAGGTCTTGCTTGGCTTTCAAGATCAGAGATCATCTGGTGCCTTTAGGAAATATGTCTATCCAATGATAGGTATAAATAGCTTTCCACATGCTTTCCAGTATACTGTTACTAAATTCTCACCATTCTCACTATTGTCTGTGTAGATTTACACAAAGAAAGCATTTGTAACAAGGAAACTTGTACAAATATTGATCTGACTACATTCTATAGATAGAAACCTTTACTCTGATGATTTCATTCTATACATTGCTTTTCAATTGCCTGTTCAAAAAAATTCAAGACATCGGATAAAATTGGCAGATTGTTAATGTTATTTTTTTCCTGTTTTCAATTTAAAGGCATTCTGTTCAATGATGTATATGCTGCCTCTAAATTTGCAGTGGAAGGATTCTGTGAAAGTTTAGCCATACAAGCACTCAAGTTTAAACTTCAGTACGTATCAGTCTGATTTGTGTAAGATGTTACTTTTTTTAAAGGTTGTGGAGATTTGAGACCTGTTATTGCATTTTTAATAGAGAAAGCATGGTTAAATTTGATTGGATCCAAGTTGTGCATATTAGCGATTCATTCAGTCAATATATTGGGTCAAAAACTATAACTCACAGGGCCACACCATTTGAACATTTTGTACTTGTGTTTCACCACCTCTGCTTTTTGAATCATCAAACCTGGAGAAGAGTTCTGTGGAACTCAAAAGCTTGCACGTTTTTGTAATATTTTGGTAAGTCCTTAAATACACATAATCATTCAATGGGCTTTTGCTCCTCTTGGGAGGACACCGTTGTAGGCCCCTTTCACGGAGCCTTTGGCTTCACAAATATTTTGGGATACTTTTTCCACAATCTTTATTATTGTTCATTCCGGGCAAAGCTGATGGGAATTGTAAAACCCCCTAAAAGGCTTGCTGAGAACTACCTATTTGTGTTTTACCATAGACACCAGTCAAAAGCAAATTGTTTTGCTTGGAATTAGTTTTGTCTGTATGGTTTATCGTGTTTTTTGTAGACAGACTGGAGGAACTTTTAGAATTGATAGTTACTTGTTTTATCTGTAATGTAGCTGCTGCTCAGTGTTTGCAGTTGTTTTAATTACTTAGTGTTAACTACCTTAAATAGTAATTGAAGGGTAAAAGGTGGCATACAAACCATGTAATTAAGAAAATAAATCTCAGAGTTTTGATGCTTGGGAATTTACTAGTCTCTGAGCACTGTTGATGCCTGTCTGTCTGTCTGTCTATCATTTAGCTACCCCAAAGCAGTACAATCTTTACAACTGCTTTTACAAAAGCATTACAACTTTGACCTTGTCTCATAATGTCAACCACTTATTCCAAACCCAACAGCTGTCTCAGAGATAGGCTGGTACATAGAATTTGGAGATGCTTATAAGATAAAGCAGAATTGGATCCAAATGTAGACATGTAACAAAAATAGACTCCTCTACCCTCATCTGCCAACATCAGTATCCTGAAGATGCTACAGAAGATCAGGGGCACTGCTGAATAGCTTTGGGGAGAAGATAGGATTCACCAAATTTGGTGGGAAGGAACTTCTTCTGACTGCAGCGTACATAAGCAATACCAGGACGTTTAGGCCAAAAGTCTGAAACAAGAATGACCTGCCAGTGGCCATATTAAATATAAATCGACATCCCAAATGCTCTTGGAAACTACAACCAACCACCTTTACCTCCAACATTTAATTCCAGATTTTCATCTCACCACATGATCCCATGATCCAAATATGTGTCATAGCTTTCTTTACATATCAGTTACTTTCTATGAATACCAGGGTACAGGATTGAGGGCTGGTATACAGCATGGTCCATGCACTAATTTGTCATACATTTAGCAGACAACTTAAACAAAATTAATGATTGTGTGTGTGTGTGTTTTTCCCATACCCAGTCTTTCTTTAATAGAACCAGGGCCAGTAGTTACAGAGTTTGAAAGGAAGGTTTTTGAAGATGGAATGAAAATGGATCTTTCGGCTGCAGATAAGGAAACAGCTGATATGTTTGTAAATATTTACCTGAAAAATTACAAGCAAATTTTCCAGACTCTGGGGCAAACTGCTGAAGACATAGCAGAGGTAATGTGCTAAAAGTATGCCATGAAATGTAAGGGCAAAGGGTGCTACAGCATTCTTAATGCTAAGTAGAAACAATACAAAGCCATGGGTATTTGTCTAGCTAGGAACTATGAAGCACAGCTGGGTGTTTTCTCTGACCCAGTCGAGTGCAGAGCCTGCACATTGGAATACGTTTGGAGGTTTATCTCTCTTAGAAATAGCAATAGCATCCTCAAAGATTATTGTAATTTATTTAGAATTGTAACCTCCAACTTCTTAAAAAATAATGGTCTCATAGTGTTATTTTCAAATGTTTTTTTCAGCAATTAAAATAGTGAATTGCTGCAAAAGTTTGCTATTTCTGCTTCACAATACACTTAAAGTGAATGACATTCTTGCAACCATAAAAGCAGTACCAGGGCAAATAGCTATCTCATGCTCTCTTTTCCCAACACTTTTATTGTTATCTGGAACAATGTGGGAATGTTCATGTGTACTGCTGGTTAGCAATACAATGTATGGTTCCTAATTCTCTTGTTTATCATCCCAACAGCATACAGTGAAGATAATTCTGTCAGAAAACCCACCTTTTCGTCATCAGACCAATACTTTATACACTCCAATTACAACGCTGAAGTACGCTGACCCCAATGGAGACCTGCCAATTGAGACCTTCTACAAAATGGTTTTTCAGCACGATAAAATTTTCAGTGCAAGTCTTAATTTCATTAAATTGCTGAGATGGAAAAGCAGGAAGAGCTTTGACTTGGGAGAAAGATCTTCTCAGTGAAGAAATGAGGCAGGGGGCTATTTCACTTGTTGCTTTCTATGTCACTGGGATGGGGGAAACCTAAAATAATGTGAAGTGTCTCTAAATAAATATTTACTTCAAAATATAGTATCTCAGTATGAATGAGAAAGATGTAGCCCTTTAGATGTAGCTGGACTGCAATACTCTAGCAGCATAGCCAGTTGTGAGGCAGGTCAGGAGTCCTAGGGCCCTTCCAGACAGGACCCATATCCCAGGATCTGATCCCAGGTTTTTTGCTTTAACCTGGATTATATGACTTCCCACTGCCAGGTAATCTGGGATAAACAGAAAACCTGGGATTAAATCCTGGGATACAGGGCCTGTCTGGAAGGGCCCTAAGTCCTTTAATAACTGAAAGACCACACATTCCTAACTCCTTTTCTAAGCAAAACCCTATCACCACCAGAAAATGTAATTTTACATTTCCATTTATGAACACAGATCTGCCACTTGGACCATTTGAATGTTTTTCCAGTAAGCATTTTCATGCACAGTACTTGTAAACTGAATAGCAATCTTTTAAAATAAAGTTTAATTTGCTTCTTCAATGACAATTTCATGAAGGTTGAGATAACAGCTTCTCAAGGCAAGAGAATTAAATTATTAAGGCTTTCCTGGTTTGTTCTATCTCATGTCAAAACCTAGGGAAGAATAATTGTACCCTGAATGCTTCCCTATTGAAAAGAAATCCCATGGAAAAATATGTCAAGGAGAGGGGTATTTTTTACTTAGGCAAACATTTGACTATACTATTTTCTCCTAGCAACTAGTACACCCCAGGAAAATGTTTACTATTGGATTTTGTTAAACATTATTTTTTGGTAGGGAAGCATATGCGTCCAATAACTTCCCTCTATTTTAATTGTGTTATACTTATGACCACTGTTTCTATAAAACTGTTGTGGTAACTGTTGTGCACCTGCTGTTTTAGAAACATAGCAGAGGGTTGTGTATGTCAGTAAGGATGGAATAAACAATGTCAGTATACAGCATAACGTTTTATTATAACTTTCTTAAAACTGCTCAAGGGGCACCACATTTCCATTAACTTCTTTATTTTTGGCAATACAATAAGGCAGGGTGGAGAGCAAAATGATACCTGACTCACAGACACATCATAGAGAGTGATTGGTTGTCTCTTCCACTGCCAAACAGTTCTTATCACCAGGAAGTTCTTCTTGATGTTAAGTTACCATCTCCTTTCTGATAATCTGAATCTCTTAACCACTATAGTAAGCCTCTTTAGTTTGATGCCCTGCAGGTGTTTTTGAATTCAGCTCCCAGAATTCCTGACCATTGAACTAGGGCTTCTGAGAGTTGGATACCCAAACAGCTGGAGGCCTGCAGGTTGAAGAGGCCTGCTCTAGAAAACAGGGGAAATGTTTGCTCCAGTTTTCATCTGAAAGTCTATCAGATACCTGAACATGCCTTAGCAGATCACCTCTTGGGGTGCATCTATACTGTAGAACTAATGCAGTTTGGTACCACTTTAGCTGCTATGGAATCCTTGTAGTTGGGTGAGGCTCCAACACTAGTATTTAGCAAAGAAGGATAAAAAGCATGTAAAACTACAACCCCCATGATCCCACAGTACAGAGCCATGGCAATTGAAATGGTATAAAACTACATTAATTCTACAGCGTGGATCAGTGTTTCTCAACCTGGGGGTCAGGACCCCTAGAGGGGTCGTGAGGGGGTGTCAGAGGAGTCACCAAAGACTACCAGAAAACACAGGATTTTCTATTGGTCATGGGGGTTCTGTGTGGGAAGTTTGGTTCAATCCTATCATTGGTGGGGTTCAGAATGCTCTTTGATTGTAGGTGAACTATAAATCCCAGCAACTACAACTCCCAAATGTCAAGGTCTATTTTTCCCAAACTCTGCCAGTGTTCACATTTGAGCATATTGAGTATTTGTGCCAAGTTTGGTCCAGATCTATCATTTTTTGAGTCCACAGTGCTCTCAGGATGCAGGTGAAGTACAACTCCAAAACTCAAGGTCAATGCCCACCAAACTCTTCCAGTATTTTCTGTTGGTCCTGGTTTGCCAAGTTTGGTTCAATTCTATTGTTGGTGGAGTTCTGAATGCTCTTTGATTGTAGGTGAACTATAAATTCCAGCAACTACAACTCCCAAATGACAAAATCACCCCCCCCCCCAACCTCACCAGTATTCCACTTTGTAGCCCCATTTCTTAAGGTTGGCTCTGCAACTCGTGGTGCCAGAGCACAGTCTATTCAGCACCTTCCAAGTTGCCCAGTCTTCTGTGTGCCCAGGAGGGAGTCTCTCATCTGGTATCAGCCATGGATTGAGGTTCTGGGTTTGGTGATGAGAGCTGGGTCCGGAAGCTCCGAGTATTATGCACATTCCACAACGGCGGTTGTGAATAAGGAAAGGGGAGGGTGGCAAACCGAGGGCGAGAATATACTTCAATTTGGTGGAAGGATAGAAAGGAGAGGAGGGTTAGGGTAAGGTTTAGGGTTTGGGGTAGGGTTAGAATTAGGCTTAGGAGTTAGGGTTAAGGATTTGGGTTATGGATTTGGGTTATGATTAGGGTTAAGGGTTAGGCTTAGAGTTCAGGTAAGGGTTGTACCATTAAAGAATTCTTACATTGCTTTTAGAATAACTATGCTCCATTCTGCATTGAGGAAACAGCACAAAGAGTGAAGAGGAAACAGCGTAAGGCTCAGAGCTTCCAGACCCAGCTTTCATACTATTACCCGGGGTTTTAGCCTGCCACTTTTGGACTCTCACTTGCTGCGGTGTTCCAGTGAATGAAAGAAGGTATTTTATGTGTATGTCAGGAGCGACTTGACATACACACAAAAGAGAATTGGTTGTATGCAAGGACGTTGCGCAGGAGATGCCCGGATGTTTTTGTTGTTGTACCAGCTTTGATGGGAGAGTTCTCTCATGTCCCCACATGGAGCTGGCGCTGACAGAGGGAGCTCATCCGCGCTCTCCCCGGATTTGAACCTCCGACCTGTCAAGTTTTCAGTCCTGCCGGCACAGTGGTTCTCAACCTGTGGGTCCCCAGACGTTTTGGCCTTCAACTCCCAGAAATCCTAACAACTGGTAAACTGACTGGGATTGCTGGGAGTTGTAGGCCAAAACACCTGGGGACCCACAGGTTGAGAACCACTGGAACCCATTGCAACACTCCTAGAGTGCCCAACCGGAAGAAGTGTGAACGAGAACGAGAATGACGCCGCCGCGCATGCGCGAGCCTCTTTCTCCGTCTCTTTGTCTCCGTTGGAAGGCTGGCGAGCTCACCGGCTGGCGCTGATAACCTCTCAACAAGGGACATTTTTAGAAGCCCAAAGACAGGATGCATTTTCACTGGCTAAGAACTCTAGGTGGGGCCGCGGGGCCTGGAGGGACCTCGCTTCGAAGCATTTCTAGGCAGGAGGGGAGGAGCGGCCTCTTCCGGGCCCAACCGGAAGCGGAAAGAGAGTAGGCCTTGAAAGGCCGCTTCCGCCGGAAGTGTTGGGCGCCGCAGCTTGGGCTGGTTGCCCGCCGCGAGCTCCTTCTCTGTTGTTCCTTGCCGTGACTGAAGAGCGGGCCGAGCGAGGGAGGGAAGGAGGGAGGGAGGGAGTGGGGGCCGCCTCCGGGGCCTGTGGGCTCGGCCCTCACGCGAAGCAGAAGGAGAAGCAGGAGGAGGAAGGAGGCGGGCGCCGGGCCCCTGGGCTCCCCTCGCCGCCCGGCTTCTCGGGCGGCGCTTCCCCGGCCCAGCATGGCTTCCTCGTCCGGGAACGACGACGACCTGACCATCCCGCGGGCGGCCATCAACAAGATGATCAAGGAGACGCTGCCCAACGTGCGGGTGGCCAACGACGCCCGGGAGCTGGTGGTCAACTGCTGCACCGAGTTCATCCACCTGGTCTCCTCCGAGGCCAACGAGATCTGCAACAAGTCCGAGAAGAAGACCATCTCCCCCGAGCACGTCATCCAAGGCAAGGCCTGCTGGCAAAGACATGCCTGCAGAAGGCCAGCAGGGATAATCAACGCCATCCTGGGACCTCATCACACCACAGCATGGATCCCCTTTAAATCCGGTTACTGCCTCTTGTAAAATTCTGGGGCTTGTAGTTTAAGGAGGGACCTTTAAACTGCTCAGCCAGGCAGGACCTCACTAAACTACAAACACTACAATTCTGAAGAAGGCAGAAGCTGAATTTCAAGTGAATTCATGTTCCGATGTAATGAGGCTGTAGGGCGGAATCCACATGCCGTCCAAGCTGCGTTATTTGGTAGTGTAGATCCAGCCAGATCCTTCATAGATGTGGCAGCTAAATGTGATGTGGCAGCTAAAAAAGCAGGTGGGATTTTGGCCTGCATCAATAAGAGTCTAGTGTCGACCAGGTCACAGTCCCTCAAACTGTTGGAGGGCCAGATTATAATTTGAGGGAAAAAATGAATGAATGCACACTGCACATTATTTATTATTATTATTATTAACTTTATTTTAACCCCGCTAGCATCTCCCGAAGGACTCGATGCGGCTTACAAAGGCCAAGGCCCTCAATAAAACAATAACATAGCAATACACACAACTCATAAGCAAACCAAAACAATTAAAGCAATAGCAACAAAGCAATAAAACAATACACTGTGGCACAGTAAAACTAGGGCCGGGGCTTATTTGTCTTATTTGTAGTGCAAAACGCTTAAAAACAATACAACAATTAAAAGGAAGAACAATTTTAACAAATATAAACTTATTAGTATTTCAATGGGAAGTGTGGCCCTGCTTTTGGGTAATGACATGGGATTGTTGTTGCTGCTGTGTACTTTCAAGTCATTTCAGACTTAGGTTGACCCAAATCGATGGCCAGATAAATGACCTTGGAGGGCCGTATCCAGCCCCAGGGGCTTCGTTTGAAGACCCCTGGTCTAGATCCAGGGAAGTCATGCTACCCCTGTATTCTGCCTTGGTCACAACACATCTGGAATACTGTGTCCAATTTGGGACACCGCAGTTGAAGGGAGATGTTGACAAGCTGGAATGTGTCTAGAAGAGGGCGACTAAAATTATCAAGGGTTTGGAGAATAAGC